AGATCGCTGACGGCGAGGTCGCGGAGCTCGCCGGAGATCTCGTTGGAGGCGAGAGAAAGGACCCTGAGCTCGGCGGAGGAGGGGAGAGAGGAGAGGAGGGAGTCGTTGAGGAGGTTGGCGGAGAGGTCGAGGTGACAAAGGTAAAGTGGGAGGAAGAGGTCGGAGGGGAGGGAGCCGAGGAGGCGGGTGCCAGGCAAATGAATTCTTTATCGGAAGAACTACCACAGCTAGCAAAATAGCATGAAGAAGAAGGAGAAGAAGTCCTAGAAGCTAGCGGTAGCAGAGGGGGTCCTCTCCCAACACAACCTCAAGTCCGTCGACCTCTTCAGGGGCAAGAGGATTTCCGAGCTGAGCAACGCCGAGAAGCTCGACGGATTCACGAGGGGAGCTGATCAAGGAGAAACACTGTCGGGAATCGGAGCCGGTCCCGACGGTTCTGATCAAGGGAGCAGCGACGCCCAGATCATCGTCGGCTACCATCTCAATAGCGTTCACCAGCTCTTCTTCTTTGACGTTAGCAACGTGGCCTTGATTGATTATGCATGCTAGCTGTTTGATTAATTATAAATCTTGTAATATATATTCTGCTGGTGTTCTATATTGCTAGCTAGTTGGTTAACTAATCTCTTGGATTGTTATTATATTATAATGCCCGTGTCCATAAAGATTGAGAGACTAGTAACTGTAGGTTGCATTCAGTGATAGTGTACGTTGCATTAACTTATATCGCATGCAATATATCCAGTTGCAGCTCTTTAATTAAGTGGTTGTTAAGGTTATACGCGTTGGTTGTTAAGGTTACAGGTTGCTTATTAAAGTTACGTGTTGATTGTTAAGGTTACGGGTTGGTTATTAAGGTTAACTGTAACCTTAACAACCAACTCGTAACATTAACAATCAACGCGTAACCTTAACAAGCAACCCATAACATTAACGACCAACGCGTAATCTTAACAAGCAACCCGTAACCTTAACAACCAACGTGTATAACCTTAACAACCAATACTTAACCTTAACAACTAAATCCTAACCTTAACAATCAACACGTAACCTTAAGAAAAAACTCGTAAGCTTAACAACCAACGCGTATAACCTTAACAACCACTTAATTAAAGAGCTGCAACTGGATATATTGCATGCGATATAAGTTAATGCAACGTACACTATCACTGAATGCAACCTACAGTTACTAGTCTCTCAATCTTTATGGACACGGGCATTATAATATAATAACAATCCAAGAGATTAGTTAACCAACTAGCTAGCAATATAGAACACCAGCAGAATATATATTACAAGATTTATAATTAATCAAACAGCTAGCATGCATAATCAATCAAGGCCACGTTGCTAACGTCAAAGAAGAAGAGCTGGTGAACGCTATTGAGATGGTAGCCGACGATGATCTGGGCGTCGCTGCTCCCTTGATCAGAACCGTCGGGACCGGCTCCGATTCCCGACAGTGTTTCTCCTTGATCAGCTCCCCTCGTGAATCCGTCGAGCTTCTCGGCGTTGCTCAGCTCGGAAATCCTCTTGCCCCTGAAGAGGTCGACGGACTTGAGGTTGTGTTGGGAGAGGACCCCCTCTGCTACCGCTAGCTTCTAGGACTTCTTCTCCTTCTTCTTCATGCTGTTTTTGCTAGCTGTGGTAGTTCTTCCGATAAAGAATTCATTTGCCTGGCACCCGCCTCCTCGGCTCCCTCCCCTCCGACCTCTTCCTCCCACTTTACCTTTGTCACCTCGACCTCTCCGCCAACCTCCTCAACGACTCCCTCCTCTCCTCTCTCCCCTCCTCCGCCGAGCTCAGGGTCCTTTCTCTCGCCTCCAACGAGATCTCCGGCGAGCTCCGCGACCTCGCCGTCAGCGATCTCGCCGAGGCAGCCGTTGGCGTGGTCGAGGGAGCCGGCGGCGATGTGGTTGGCGCGGTGAGGAGGGAGGAGGTGGATGAGGTAGAGCCCGCGCTCGTCGGACTTGAGCTCGCGGACGCCGCAGGGGACGACGACGGTCGGGGATAGGGACATCAGGGAGAAGCACTGGAGGGGGGAGGAGGTAATCAATGCCCATAAGAGAGATAAAGGGTATTATAGTCTTTAGTTGTGTAAAATTCTTGGGCTTTGTGTTTTGGGGGCTCAGTGCATAGTTATTACGAATTTGGGGGTTTTGAGGGCGTTGAAAAAGTCTTGGGGGTGGGAAGCGTTTTTTCTTGTGTTTTGGGGGCTGGAAGCATTTTTCCCTTTAATTAAATGTCATTACGGAGAGATTCTTCACAAGTGGCCTGTTGGTTTGGGCCTCAGACCTTGGCCCAAAAGGCCACCAAGGGCTGGGCGGGCTAAAAGGGTTTATTGGGCCAGCTGGTCGTACGTAGTCCCCCAAACCCACTTCCATAATTTCTTTCAAATGCGGGGGCCGGCTTTACCCCAAGCCCATGAGGTCAGTAATCTAATCCTGGTAGATTATTAGTAGATTAACCTTCACCCTTTTTTTTTTTTTCCAATTATAACTTTTCCCATTTTTAAAAATAAACAAATAAAAACAAGGCTGAATGGCACTTCTATATCCTACCTATTTTTCACTTATATATCCTCACTTATATTTTGTAGCAAGAAAATACCCTAAAATTTATTTAAACTAACACTTGTATACCCTTACTTATCTTTGTTAGCACTTATATACCCTAAAGTTACTAAAACTCACATTTAAATATCCTAAAGTTTTTAAATCTAACACTTAAAGTATTTTAATTTTTTTTTAAAACTTGCAATTAAATACCCTTAAGTTTGTATAACTGAGACTATTTATGTGCAGATTTAAAAAACTCCATGTTATTTAAGTGCTACCCCTAAAAACTTTAGGGCATTTAAGTTCCACTAAAAAAAACTGAGGTGCGTGAGTACAAGTTCGAAAAAAAAAATATGGTCATTACAGTGTTTACTTAGTTTCAGTAGTGCATAAATCTTTTAGCCTCAGTTTTTAGTTGTGCATATGAAATTCAAAGGAACCTTTGCCACGAGAGCAATACAGTCATGGAAATGGAAGCTCAGAGAAGCGAACACCGGCAGAAATGGAAGAAAGTGGCTTATGGAGGGAATGCAACCTGGGTACGATGGCAACTACACCGATGAGCCATTCCTCGAAGACAGGGTGATGAATGCTAATGTGCTGAAGAGAGATTTTGTTAAGAGTGATGCTAGATTCCCTGGTCAGTAATGCCTCTTTGAATGCTAATCTTTTACCCAATTAAACACTTTCTCTTCTATCATCGATGCGGCCACTCTCCTATCACTGGATGCCATTCACCTTGTTTGGAAAATTTAATAAAATGAAGGGAAAATAAGGGAATACATGTAAATTTACATAATTTCATCCATTTTGAATCTCATCTTGATACAAGGATGAAGTTGTCTATGTTATATTCATTTTTTTTAAGAATTCCCTTCCCCTCCACTACGCCCCAAATTTGGAGGCAACAAAATCTCAAGTTTAGGAGGAGGAAAAAAAAAAAAAACCCCCTTCAGTTACATTAACTCCCTCTCATTAATTATCTCTCTTAAATGAATTCTCAAACAAGATTAATTATAACGGGTACTCTACATTCCTCGACCTCATGTTAACCCAATCCAAACGTGCCCTTAAATAAGTCCCTCTAGATTAGAAATTGCTAACTTAACTCTAAATTAATAACTAAACTACATTAATCTTGCTAGTTTTGATCTCATTTTCCCTAGATAGTTACACTTAATACCTGCAACACAATGCAATAGAGACTTCTAAATGAATAGTAAACAGGGGAAGTAGCAGGGAGAAGAGCTTCGGGGGGAAGTATCTAGAAAATGGGCGAGCAAAGCATGCAAGATTAATGGAAATCAATTAACTGTTTTTACCATAGAGGGGCTTATTTAAGATAAATATAGATTTGGGGGACTTGGTTAAAAACATATGATATTTGAGGGACTTACTTAAGAATATTTATAGATTTGAGGGACTAATTTAGAATATCTGAGATTTGAGGGACTAATTTAGAACATGTATGGTGAAAAGCTATATTTTTACATCCTTATCCACACAGAGGCTTCTTGAGTACCTTAAAAGACTCAAGCCAGAAGATGAAAGCTTGAGTTTTAATCATTTCTGGTGCTATTGAAGTTTCTAGATAGAGGGCTTAAATGGGTAATTAGTGAATCAAACAATCACAAACACACAAATACAGAGGATTTTGATAGTGGTTCGGATAAATCCTACATCCACTTTTCCTCCGCAACCGGAGGGGCTTTCAAGCTACGTAAGAGTTATTTGTATTATAAACTCTAATCCGGTGGGGAATACAAGATCGCACGCTAGTCTATCCAACTACATTGATCTTTGCATTGAGCTTTCCCATTTGCAACCCCCTCTTACTAACAAATGCAAAATAACAAACAAAATAGTTCATTCACAAAAAAAGTTTCATTCTCTGGGCTAAAATGGCTTCCAATTCACAACCATGATAAAAGCCCAATCAACTACTCTTATCATTAGCCTGACAGAAAATGTTCGATGAGAATTTACCCAGCCTAGGGTTGCAGCATCAAGGGAAAGAACAAATGGCAACAGTACGCATTGAGACGGGCTCTGCAAAATGAAGCAATAGATTCAAGAGATTCGATTTGGTTCTCTATTTAGTTTGGCTCTACAGGCGATAGAGATTGTTAGTGAGATTAAGTGTATTATGAGGTGTGATTTAGAATTGAGCGATGGAGAGACCTTCATATTGCATTTCTTACCATTTAGTAAAACTATTCTCCTCCTTTTGCATGCAACAAGCCAAACAACATATATCAGTATGTTATTTATGTTCTTGATATTTTTCGGTTATATCTGTATGTTATTTATGTTCTTGATATTTTTCGGTTTTTTTTTGGGCTTTTGTGTCATTGATATTAGTTTATCTTGGAGATTTGCCATATCAAAAATACATACGGTGTCTCGTTCCAAAAGAAGAGCAACCTAAATGGGAGCCAAGAATGAGAGCAGCAGTTAGTCAATGGACTGATTGGATTGTGAAGCAGTGAGGAACGCTGGTATAAATGAAATCTAATGTAGAACCTCAACACTTGATGCGTCAACAAAGGCTACAATGCCATCCTTTAGTTCGTTACTTGATGATATACCTCAGAGAGAGCCATTGCACTTTGAATTTTCATGTCTTCACTTTAGCTGCAGCTTCTTTAATTTGTTCAATGGTGAAAACACCAAAGAAATCATCATCAACGACTGCGTTAATGGCTGCGTAAGCAACATCATCGACACTCACAGGTGGGGCAAGCAGGACATCAGAAGCTGGAAGAGATCTTAGAGGCTTTACGAAGCTCTCAGTCGCGGTAAGAAATCTCTCTAATGGTTCTCCTATAAGATCGAGGGGGATCTCAAAACCATCCACCTTTCTCTTGCCATAGATGAATGCAGGTCTCAATACTACACCTGTTCATTGAAGCAAGATGTATTCAACATGATGAGTCTCTAAACCTTATTAGGTTTTATACTTCCAAAGTTACTGTCATAAAATTACTACAATCAGATATTAAATGTATTTCCTCAAAGTGTTGAAAATATGAGATTGTATATAATTGATTAATTTGAGTGGTAAAGTTTTAATCAAACAACTTAATTTCAGTGGTATAGCAAATGAGGTGCTGCTAATAGTGTACTCATGTACTGAGAATCTAGTGAAAACAGAAAGATGGATTTTCTCTTGTCATTCACTAACACTAACTCAAACAACCTTTTTTGCAACTTCACTATTTAACCGAAATATTAAGGCAAACAGTAAAACTTTACAATATTTACTTTTTATGCTTCTGTTTGTGACACTTAACAATTAACCAATCCATGGGAACCATATCAGATTTTGATTCATTTTAGTAGTGCATATTCTACAAGCAAGCGGACATTATTCATAACCCAAGATTCTTCAGACCGCCCCACCCCAACCCCCAAAAAAGAAAAAGAAAAACAAAACAAAACAGCCAAATTTTTTTTTCCAGTTTAAAGAGATTCAATTGGCATGAAATTGCACACTTTCCTATGGGCGCATTGTTGAAATTGTAGAGATATGGAAAATAATTACATAAGTGAAGTTGAGCATCCACATGGATAGGCCATTTAAAAGTATATCCATAGAATTATCAGTATATATATAGAGTAATGCAGTGAAAAGGTGAATTACCTGTGCGTGGATATTTCGCTAGGACCTCAGATTCTGCTTTCCTCTTTCCCGTGAAGTAGCCCGAGGCGAGTAGAAATGATGGTAGATTGTAATCATGCACGGAGATAAGAATGAACTTTGGAACTCCTATATTTAAAAGAACCGATTCAGATATGTACGCAATGAGTTATCAAAAGGGTTTCTCAACTTGTTTAAGCTGCACAAAATCAAGATAGCTAATCACTCTAAGGACTCACCGGATCATTCTCTTACTTACACTTCGGAAATGAGATCCCAAAACACCCTCATCATAATGGTATGATAACCTAGCATGAATTTTAAGGATCAAGAAAATTAGCACACCTCTCAGTTCTTACCATATTCCTTTGCAGCATCTACTGCCAAGGCATTGGCCTCTCCATTTATTTTCTTCATCTGCTCCTCATTGCCGAAACCTCCAAGGGTCGAAACAACTGCAGTTGCTCCAGGCAATACTTCATCCCATTTCACATAGAAAACATCTCCTGCGTAGATTTCATTCAGGTTAGAATTGTTTTAAGCAGAATATTTTTAATAAGTTACTCCTATTGAGGATAACATGAGAGAGAATTGTTTGAGATACTTTGGTCATATGCAATGGAGGCCATTAAAGGCACCAATTTGGAGAAATGATATTATTATAATTTACAGAGAACAGAGGATTAGATATAAGCCTAAAAGAACTAGGTTAAAAATCTTCAGAAGGATATCATAATGAATCAATGATTAACTCAATGGAGGAGATAGCTCTAAGAAATTTGGGATAGACTTTGTTGTTGTTGTCGTAGAAACTCTTCAATCAGAGCATGCAATGAGCCATAATGAAGAACGAACTGAGTGTGATAGCATTTCTATTTTAAGAGGCAAAGTAGGAAAGCAAAATCTAGTCAAGTAGAAAGCATTACTACAGTGATAATACAAGTTGAACAGATACCAGTTATCCATGTGACCTGATCGACCCAAGGATCCGAGATAGCAGGCCTTCCCGACCTGTAAGAAGCATCATCATTTTAAGCATATTGGACTTATACACATTAAATGCAATATAAAGACAAAACAATGTGCCAAATAACTATAGTAAACATGTGTAAGCACCTGCTTAGACTAGCAACCTCAATACCCTTGGAGACTGCAGCTTTACATATAGCAGAACCAACAAATCCACTGCCTCCCAATACTACAACCTATTATATTGAAAGGTCATAGTCAGCTTTCACAATGGTATGTCTGTGCGCGCGCGAATGTATGAAAGAGGTTTCCAACAAAAATAACAAAAGTAAAGAACATAGATCTTATACCAACCCTTTCAGTTTTGACATCAGCTACGACATCTATCGGAACAGAAGAGGAATCCTCGTTGATATCTGATGCGGCATAACTACATCTAGTATTTATCCTGCCAAGTTAACAATATGCAAGGCATATAAGCTGATAAGTAATTTAACATTTATTTATGAAAGCTATAAAATTTCTGCTAACAGCAGCAAAGTCCAAATTGAAGAGGACTAAATAAATAAAACCAATTCTACATTTAACGCGACCTAGTCCCCGTAATGGTCTTTTCCTACTCCATATATTACTTATAACAGGGCTTATGTGTAAAATAACTGCCACAGCTCAAATCCTAGCATTTCCAAAGACCAATTCGAAATACCTACTGCAACATGTTTTTATAAAGATAAATCAACATGTTTATAAAGATAAATTGGAGGTAACACCCACCCTCATGAATTGAGGAGGGCTGAGTGCTAATAAACTTTGAGAATTCACTCAACCAGCTGCTAACTCGATATGTAAACAACCCTTAAAAGTTAAACTAACACTATTAAAACAAACTCAACAAGACAATGTATTCATAAGTTCATAAGAGATTTATTCACCCATGCATTAATTAGACATGAGTCCGACGACAGACTTCTCTTTCTAAATAAATCAGCATTTGTACGCCTTCTGAAATTGAGGAGATGGCCTATCTTATCCAAAGCATTCCAGACTCCTCTATAAAAGAAAGAGTCTGAAATCCCACCACCACCACAAAAAAAAAACCTACAAATAAATAAAAGCAAACAACCTTTTTTGCTCCGCGTTGATAGATACTTTAGGTTCTGATACAAACACTCCTCCAAACGCCTCCACCAAAATTTGAAATTTGCTCTTTTGCATCTATATTACTGATTGAAAACTCAGATCAACATGCCAAGAACACATGCATGGCAAAGCTTCGAATTCTTCGCACCATCTTCATCCTTATTTTGATCTTTGCTACTAACTATACAAACCGTTTTTTGCCCCTTCTAACCTTTTTCCACTCAGCTCCATGCAACAAAACTCCGAAAATGAGGCTAGCCCACAGTGTTCATGAATGCTTTTTTTTTGGATTTGGATCATCTCCACTACAAAAAAGTAGTGGAGAGACCACTACTTTTAATCTCAACCGTTGATTATTTAGTAGGCGGTTATGATACAATCTAAATCTAACACTTACCATACCCCCGTGTATTGCACTCATTCCTAATTTGCACTAAAAGAAAAAATCATAACCATCATCTAGATAATCAATGGCTGTGATTATCACTCATTCCTAATTTGCACTAAAAGAAAAAATCATAACCATCATCTAGATAATCAATGGCTGTGATTATATAGTGGTCCCTCCACTATTTTTGTTGTAGTGGAGAGGATCCGAATCCTTTTTTTTAAGCTTATATAAGGTATGTTGGTTTTTCGTGGCTTTTGACTTCTATGATAAAAATGCTATAAAAATTGTTTGGGTAGAATAATAATTTGTTTGATCAAAGCTTAGCTAAACATAGTTTTTCAAAAGTTGGGTTATAGGGGCTTTTTAAAATGGGACTAACTTATTTGGTATTTTATCAAACAACTATAAATAAATAAAAAAGCTAGCTTAAAAGCTAGTTTGACCAAAAAACAAGCTCCCCCAAAACACACTAAAACCTAAAGATATGGCAAATTCGCAAAAGAATTACACTTGAAGAACAAGTTCCTGCTGTAAACAGCAACATGCACTAAAAACCCCATTGAGAACAAAGAAACTCAAAAATTGCCCAACGAATTACAGCTAAAACGGCTGTATTTGAGTGAGATACTAAAATTTCCTAGCGTGCTATCAGTAGGACAGCAGCAAAAGTGAAAAGATCCAGCCTTTAGGCCGCAACAAACGAAAAAATTTAATGGGTCGTCGTAGATTTAGATGCTTTGCACGAATCTAGGCATAATTTTGAAAATATTTCGATTTCTCACCTTAAGGAAGAATAAGAGAGAGGTCGAGGGTTAGGGTGAGAGAGTGAAGCTGGACGAGCGCAGAGAGAGGGTCTCTTGAAGGAGAGCGGAGGACCGGATACCGAGGCGGAGGACCACACCGTCGACGCCGACATTTTCCCGAGATTAATAAAAGAGAAATCTCTCTCTCTCTCTCTCTCTCTCTCTCTCCTCTTCTTTTTCTCCCCTTTTTCCTCCTTATTTCTTCATTTTCGTCTGAATTTTTGGGGTTTTAAATGCGTCCTTCTTTAATGCCTCTATTGCTATTTGGACAATAATTTTAGAAAATAAGTTTAGATATTGCGAGATTTCTTTTTTTTTAATTATAATAACCCATTAGAAAATAAGTTTAGATATTCTAATTTAATTTTTGGTGGATTACAATCCATAAAGCTTGACCAAGTAAAGACATTTCACAAATATCTAAGCTTAGTTATTATTAACTTATTATTAACTTATCATCGGCTTCATTAATCTAGGGTCCTTTTATATTATTCTGAAAATAATAATACATTATAATCTACCCATTTTTAAAATATGTGAAGTTTTAAAAAAAAATATATAATCTACTAAATTTACCAATTACATTATAGTCCACAAGATTTTAACTTAAGTTGATCAGAATCAGTAGTTCTCGAATATGCTCTTAGGAATTTGACATTTACATTTGTCTATTTGCGTGTTGCCTTGTTAATTTAATTTAAGGAAACAAAAGAAAACAAACTTTACGGCTTACTCTATTTGCAAATCACATTTTTCAGGGTTATCAATGTTACACATTTCTACGGGTGTCAATAGAAAAAGGAAATAGGATTTTATTATTATTATTATTATTATTATTATTATTTTGTGGTCCTCGTCGTTGTCTTTCCTTGTTTGCTTTCTGTTTTAGTTCACACAATATTTGTGATTGAAAAAGGCAGGCCAATGCAGATCCTCACGATCGCGTGGATGGGAATTAATAGTTTTCCCTTTTTTTTTTGTTTTTTTAAAATCTTTTATTTTCTTCGCTTGTTTTTAAGCATAAAGATCGTAATGTGAAATTTAAATGAAACTTTTTATCATCCATTCAAACCTTCTGTTAAAAAAAAGCTCAAGTTGTTAGAGTTTTAGAACAAGTTTTTTTTCAAAGCCTAGATTAAATTTTACCTAGTGTATATTATTAGCTATGAATTAATTTTAACTGAAAATGTATAACTATCAGATAGTTATACATTCACAGACTCATGAGTTTTAACAACACTCAACATCCTTGTTGGGGGGAGTTGATTAGTTTTAAATAGAAGCTATGAATTAATTTTAACTGAAAATGTATAACTATCAGATATTGACCTTAATTTCTGTTTTAAACATGTCACTCGTTTTTGTTTCATTCGATGTGAGACTGTATTTACATATTGTTAGCTAGACTCGGTCATGGTGACCAAATCAACGTTTGTTTCTCTGTTGAGAGAAACGTGGGAACGTGGAATGGTTTGTTGAGAGGAAATCTCTCATGGGGCGGAACTGAAGGGGGTGGAGATAGTGGGTTTAGCCCCTATAAAAGGAGGGTTAATCTCCTTCAGAATATACAACAACGAAGAAAAGATAAAAACCTCTTACCCATTATCGGAGCCCCCCTCAAAATTCCATCGCTGCTCCTCTGATTTCATGCACTGGTATCAGAGCCATACGTCGATCGATCAACTATCTCAAGCTCTGCGTCCATCGGCGACGACGACTGCTGCAATCACGACGCCAACGACGAACTCAGCCTCGATCGACAGCGATCTGATCTCCTACAGTTCGAGCACGACGTCAACGACGAACTCGTCGTCGATCTGATCTTCGCTCGACCTCAGTCTCGATTGCGACGACGACGACTAGACGACCCTCCGATCTATCGACGACGACGACTGATTTGGAGCTAGGGTTTCAAAAGAAGTTTTTTTTTGGGGGGGAGAAGGCAATCGGGAGTGAAGGCAATAAGGAGTTTTTAATCAAGCTGGGAACATAAAGAAGTGGTGTTGGGCTAATCTAGTTGGGCCTGAGAATATCCTAATACAATTTTTTTGCTCCTTGAAAAGCTTCTGTGCATTTGTAGTTGGGCCTTGTAGAGAGAAACAAGTTTGTGGTTGAATTTTGAGATTTCAGTTTGAGCGTGAGGAGTATTATTTCTGTAGAAGCCTCAAATTCTTCACACGGTGGACCCTCTCCAAAATCCAGTCAGACAAGTGTTGATCCAATCAACACCGTTGAGTGACAATCTCGCTCGAATTGGAACTTCTTTCATCAACTCGGAACAATCAGGTTCTTTTTATTTATTTATTTATTTATTATCTAATTTATTTTGTTTTAGTATAATTGTCAAAATATCAACCTTATAAATTTTTTTTAAATTAATTTAGTTTTAGTTCTCTACCGAATGGCTAGCAAACTCGTTCTATCAGAACTAGGAAAAATTAACAAATTTAATGGCAGTAATTATGATATGTGGCATAGAAAAATAGGGTATGCTCTTATTCATGACAACATTGATGATATAATCGAAACCACTGCTCCAACCCTTACTGATAAATCAACACCTGAAGAAAAGAAAGTGTTTGGACAAAAAGGCGAAAAGTTTTATGCTCATGTTCATGGAAGATAACTTAATCAAAGTTTTTGAAACTTATAAGACTTCCATGGACATGTGGAATGCAATAAAAGAAAAATACGACACTGCTTCTGAAGTTAACATCCAACTACTCTTGCATAAGTATAATTCTTGTCGTATGCAAGAGGGAGACAATGCCGTAGAACATATAAATAAAATGATTGTCATGGCTAAGGACTTATCCACTGCTGGGATCGAAATCCCGGAAAGAATGCAAGTGGCAACCATTTTGAATAGTCTTCCCCCTTCACTTGCTGTGGCTGCCACCACATTAAGAATGAATCCTGCCATTAAGTCTGTCACTGATCTTCCTATGCACCTAGCGATAGAACAAGACTTAATAGCCAGTAGGAAGGAACCAGAACTGAATATAGTGCAGCAAGAGCTGAATTATGTCCGCCAGAGGCATAATGCTGGAAGCTATAAAAACCCTGGTCCTAGTAAACCACAACCACGAGGACCGAAATCGCAGCAGTTCAAGAGAAAGAAAGTACCCCGTGGAGCCTGCTACAATTGTGGAAAGTTCGGGCATTTCAAACCCAATTGCCCACAAGGTGAAAAGCAGGAGAATAAGGGAGGCTATAAGCATCCAGAACAAGGGGGTACTAGCAAAAGAGAATTCGTCGGTGTGACGGAATGTAATGCTGTGATGGCGGATATCAGTGGTTGGTGGATCGACTCCGGTGCGACTAGGCATATCGCAAAGGATAAGAATGGAGTCGTAGAATTCACCGAGCTGAAGAAAGGAGAACAGAGAATCTATATGGGAAATAATACCTATCTCGATGTAGAAGGTGTTGGTTCGTATAGATTGGATCTTGGGGACAGCAATCTTGTCCTCAAATATGTGTTCTATGCGCCAGGAATTAGACGCAATCTGATCTCTGTTCCCAGCTTGATGAAGAAAGGACTGGAAGTGAGGTTCTATAATAACAGGGTTTCTATAGGCAAGAATAATAAAGTGTATGCTATAGGAAAATATGTGCCCGAACATGAATTATGCATTCTTCCAGTAGTTTGTAATAATTCTGATAATAAAATTTCGAATTTGAACTACTTGTCCTGCTATATTTCTGAATCTGAATTGTGGCATTCTAGACTAGGACATGCTAGTATTTCAAAAATGAAAGAAATTATCAGAATGAACTTGCTTCCTGCACTATCTAATGTTCAATTACCACCATGTGAACATTGTTTAACTGGTAAAATGACTAGAAAACCTTTTATTGGCGGACATAGAGCCAATGAACTTTTAGGGTTGATACACTCGGATATTTGTGGTCCCCTAAGTGTCAAAACTCATAGTAATAAAGAATATTTTATTACTTTTATAGATGATTATTCCAAGTTTGCACACGTCTATCTTATATCCAGAAAATTAGAAGCTTTTGACTGCTTTAAGAGATATAAGACAGAAGTTGAAAACCAACTTGGATTGAAAATCAAAATTTTGAGAACTGATAGAGGTGGAGAATATAATTCTAAAGAATTTGAAAGTTATTGTATTCAGCATGGAATTAAAAGGCATACAACAATGTCGTATACGCCACAACAGAATGGTGTTGCTGAAAGAAAGAACAGAACATTATTAAATATAGTTAGATGCATGTTGTCTCATTCTGGTCTCTCTAAAAACTTTTGGGGAGAAGCATTGTTAACTGCAAACTACATTTTAAATAGAATTCCCACCAAATCAGTTATATCTACACCTTATGAATTATGGAATGGGAGGAAACCTAATTTGAGTCATCTCAGGAAGTGGGGATCTATAGCCCATGTTCTCATTCCATGTCAACTTAGAGATAAGTTGGATTTTAAAACAATAAAGTGTAGATTCATAGGGTATTCAGAAAAGTCAAAAGGTTATAAGTTCTACAATAAAGAAAAAAGAGTCATTGAAAGCAGAGATGCTACATTTCTAGAGAATCTAGAGGAAGAGGAACAAGTTCAAGAGGAAACAGAACCTCTAACTGTAATAGATGATGATTATTACAGTGTTGTTCCCACTAATGACTCTGATATTATGAATGAACCTAACCTTGAAAATGATGAAATACCTATGGAAAATAATATACCTAATCAACCGGTTGTAGGCAACAAAAGACCAAGAACACAACCTTCATGGATGGATGATTACTATTTGTATTCATGTGAGTCATCCTGTTTTTCGGTAGATACAAATATAGAAGAACAAGATCCCTTAACCTTTTCTGATGCGATGAAATCGCATGAATCAGCTTCATGGCTAGAATCTATGAGAGAAGAACTTGATTCCATAGAAAAGAATAAAGTATGGGAGTTATGTGATCTACCAGAAAATAGAAAAGCCATAGGATGCAAATGGGTGCTCAAAAAGAAATATCGTGTTGATGGATCTATTGATAAATTCAAAGCACGGTTAGTTGCCAAAGGTTATAACCAGAAGGCAGGAATAGATTTTCAGGAGACGTATTCTCCTGTAGCTAAATTTGCATCCATTAGAATTATTTTGGCTATTGTTGCATATCTTGATTTGGAGTTATTCCAAATGGATGTTAAAACTGCATTCCTTAACGGAGAGTTGAAGGAAGCAATATATATGCAACAACCTGAAGGTTTTCAGGTGAAAGAACAGGAACATAAAGTTTACAAATTAATGAAATCTCTATATGGTTTAAAACAGTCTTCTAGACAATGGTATCTCAAATTTCATGATGCAGTTACTAAACTTGGTTTTATTCAAAATAAATTAGATAATTGTGTATATGTCTTGAAAAGTGGGAGCAAGTTTACTATATTATCCTTATATGTGGATGATATATTGCTCGCTGGAAATGACATAGAAATGTTGAATAAAACCAAGGCAGATCTCAGCGAAAAGTTTGAGATGAAAGACATGGGAGATGCATCATATATTCTTGGAATTCAAATAATTCGAGATAGAAAGTCTAGAATGCTAAGTTTAAACCAAGAAAAATATTTAAGATCAGTTCTTAAAAGGTTTGGAATGGAGAATTCCAATCCGGCACCAACTCCGTTGGTTATGGGAAAGAGATTATGTAAAGAGCAAAGCCCTGGAGAGGGGCAGAAGCCATTAGATGTTCCTTATGCTCAAGCAATTGGAAGCTTGATGTATGCAATGTTGTGCACCAGACCTGATATAGCTTATGCTGTGAGTCTAGTCAGTAGATATCAAAGTAATCCAGGACCAGCACATTGGGAAGCTGTTAAAAGGATTATGAAGTATATCAGAGGTACATTGACTCATAGATTAGTTTATCAAGCTGATTCGCTTGAACTCCTCGGTTATTCCGATGCTGATTTCGGAGGTGATAAAGATGATGGAAAGTCCACTTCGGGACACTTATTTATCTTTGGAGGAGGAGCTGTTTCTTGGAGTAGCAAGAAACAAGGGTGTGTTGCTAGATATACTCAAGAAGCTGAATATATAGCTTGTAGTATGGCAACTACACATGCTGTCTGGATAAGACGGTTTTTGATTGATCTTGATCTCAATTTGTTAGAGGGATCTATTGATATTTATTGTGATAATCAAGCGGCAATTAGCTTAATCAATAGTGGCGCGAATAGCTCCAAAGGAAAACATATTGAGATCCAGTATCACTATATTCGAGATATTGTAGAAAAAGGAGAAGTCAAAGTGACTTATATCCCTACTACAGATATGATTGCTGATCCTTTGACAAAAGGAATACCAGCGGAATCTTTTATCAAACATGTAAGTTTGATGGGACTTAGGAATAAATAAGTCCAAGTAAAATTTCATGAATAATGAAATAAGAGTTACTCTCTACGGATAGTGGGAGTAATGGTAAGCAGAAACATCCGATCTCACGGATAGTGGGAGGCATGTCACTTGGTTAATTTGGTCAAGTGGGAGATGTTAGCTAGACTCGGTCATGGTGACCAAATCAACGTTTGTTTCTCTGTTGAGAGAAACGTGGGAACGTGGAATGGTTTGTTGAGAGGAAATCTCTCATGGGGCGGAACTGAAGGGGGTGGAGATAGTGGGTTTAGCCCCTATAAAAGGAGGGTTAATCTCCTTCAGAATATACAACAACGAAGAAAAGATAAAAACCTCTTACCCATTATCGGAGCCCCCCTCAAAATTCCATCGCTGCTCCTCATAACCTCAACAATCCTTAGAATTAATACTCAAGAGTTTTAGTTTTTAGTATCATTCAGCAAAGCATTTTTTCATTGGGGATGAATCATAAGGAGCATATTTTAGAGTCAAATTTTGATTAAAAACCCGGGCTAATTCTGACCTCGTTTTTACCAAACCCAAAACAACCTAAAACCAAAACATGATCGATCCAGAAATTAGGTGCAATTAATGAGGTGATTTGCAGGTGTACGTAATTTGTATCCAACACGTGAACAACGGGTCACAGAGTTGTTGCAACATGATTAAGAAGAGGAGACAATGATACTCACTTCGCGACTAATTACATTAATTAACTATTGATAATTTAATTAATCTAAATTACAAAAAAAAAAACCCATAAACCCGCCCGTTTTGATCACAAATTGCGTTTAGGTGCAAAAAAATATCATGGAGTTTTTAGTTTTATACGCTCCTACCATCGATCACGCAAACATAGAAATCTTCACCTGAATGTTTCTTTATGATACTTACATGCTAATTTTATAGCTTTTTAACTAACATTTTTTTTTTGTTAATGTTTCTATTAAATTAACCAAAAAAAATTATTTAAAATTTTATCTTAATTCTACTTTAACCTAAAGTTGAGATATTTATATAATAAATGGTTAGAAAGCTCTGAAATTAGTTTATAAAAATCACAGAGAAACATTCAAGGATGAGAATTTGTGCGCTTTCATGTTTGATGCTGGAACCTTGCAAATTTGGGAAATTTTGTGGTCTTCTCTTGTACTAAAAATCTAAAACGCAACGTGTGGGTAAACTTTATGGTATTTGACGTGCAAGGTAGCCATTAATTAATCTACATCTTTCTCTACTTACTTACATAATTAATTAATTCCCTCCCTCTCTCATTCAACCACTGAACAAAAAATTTCAGCCTCATACCTCAACAGCTCCCCTCTCAACTCAAACCACTGAACAAAACTTACACAAATTAGTTTTCCCTGTAGTTTGACAAAATTTCAGCCTCATATCTCAACAGCTCCCTGCAGCCCCCTCAACTCAAACCTCGGCCATGGCGAAGGCCTCCGGCACCAGCTCCAGGCTCCATCTCTCGCTTGACGATGGTGGCGGTGGTGGTGGTGGTGGTGGTGACGACGGAGAGGTCAGCGGGCCTCCATTCTTCGCACCCGCTTCATTCGACGGTGGACCGGATTAACGAATCTGGGCCGTTCATCGGGGTGGTGATGGCGTATCCGCCGGAGGCCGACGCTCTCCGAGACTCCGGGAATTTCTTGCCCCGCTCTGACGTGCCCTTCGTTGACCTCTACGGTAACGTACTTCTCTTGTAAATTAATTTGGTTCACCCCCCTTGGTTGGAACGTAAATTATTTTTTTTCAATGCCCGGAGACATCCAGTAGTCTACGTAACAGATTGTGCGAGCATAACAAATTGAACAAGCAAAGTTAGTAGGCACGGGGGCACGTAACAAAGTGAAAGATATAATAAAAAGAAAGAAATATGGAGTCGATTGCTTCTAATAAAGGGTAATGTGACGAGAGTCTGTTGGTCAACTGGTTAGAGGAACTAAATTTAAGCTGGTATCAGAGCAACCCAGGTTCAAATCCCATCGGCCACGAATTAAATACGGATTTTCTAAAAATTGACACCGCTACGTGAGTCCAGGTTTCGACCCATAAAAAAGGACGCTTGACCTGTGGGGGCATGTTAGAATTAATATAAAAGTATAATCCTTGATTCTCACCATAACTTTGGAGTTTTGATCTTATGGTTAGAGGAACTAAATTTAAGAGCATCTCCAACAGCTTCCCCAAAATTTTCTCCAAAATGGAGAAACAAAAGTCATATTCTCCAAATTATTTTTGCTCCAACTCCAACAGCTTCCCCATTTTGAAAAATCGCATTTATTACAATAATAAAGCTCTCTCCAAAAATTTGGAGAATGCTGCAGATTTGGGGAAGGCTCCCTATTTTTTCTCCTCCTTCCCTATTTTGGGGAACGGGATGAGGAATCTGTTGGACCAAAAAACCCTCTATATTCCCCAAAATTGAGTATTTCAAAAAGATGGGGAAGCTGTTGGAGATGCTCTAAGAGGGTAATGTGACGAGAGCCTATTGGTCAACTGGTGAACACAACCATTTGCGAATAAAATATGTCTCCTTACGTATTTTGATAATAAAACTCTGTATTTGGGGGGAAACGTTGAAATGTGGCTGTCATGATATTACTCCTCAATGAAGAATGATCAAAATTATTCCATGCCTTTGCCACGATCTTATGCTATTTTTGTGTTTTAATCAATTTTTTCCCCCTTATGGTATATGATATGTGATATTACATTCTATGAACTATTATAGGACGGCGGTTTCACATTGGGAGCATTCATGGTGTAGAGGCCATTTACGTCATGTCCGGCCAACGAAGGGTACCTATTCACAACTGTCTCTTAAGTATAGTAAATAATAAACTCTCTTGTTTTGCTTTACTTTAATCCCACATCGCTTAGGTTATCAGAACTTCTCTATATTGTGCTGCATTTAATTTAAACACCTTAATTAGTAGAATGAATAATACTATCAAGTTTTTTTTTTTCTATATATACTTACCATTATGAAATTCTACGCATCACAATCCGAACATGTTACTTCTGAATTTCAATGTGCGCTGCATGCATTAATTACTAATTGCGGTGACAAAGATTGTTCGTGTGAAATCAGTTGAATGCAGGAATAACAGTTCAGATCCTGCTAGACGTCTTCGATGTATGGGGAATAGTTCACTACGGAGCAGCTGGAAGCGCAGATGACTCTATATCCTTTGGCGATGTTAGCGTGCCCAAATTTGTTGCTTTCACTGGCTCATGGTCATGGACGGTAACTTATCGATCTCATATTTTCTAACTTTTACACACATATTTTCGCCATATATATTCAAATACTTCACTAGTTACCTGTTTGTTAAAAAGAAATTTGGCTCGAAGACGAAAGAAGAACCCCCAGAGCTGAGATTCGGCGAGTATAGCATTCCCTCAGTGGGCAGGAACGCGCTATCAGGAGTGGAATTTAAACCTGAAGAACTTTACTCGGTTGGCAAACCGATGGAAGAAGTATTCTGGATGCAAGTAAATCCGGAATGGTACCGAGTTGCAGAAAAACTCGATGTATATCACTTTTCGAATAGCTACTTCTTCTTCTGCTCTCTGTTTTGAAGTTGCCTGAATCGAATAATGTACCTTGTTCTTTACGCAGGTGGAGTTACAAAGATGTGTCAATGAGACTTACTGCCTACCCGAGACTCCCAAAATACTTCCTGGTATAAATGCATCAACTGCTGATGTATTTGTGGACAATGCAGCTTTTCGCCAGTTTCTTTTTGAAGAATTCGGAGTCTCAACAGTCGACGAGGAGAGCGCAGCGATTGTCATGGTACGTAACCATGGAAATTGCAATGCGTATATTTACTGACCCGATCGAGTAACATGAGCCATTGTTTGGTTTTGCTGTGTATTTGGCTGCAGACGGCGATGTCTCCTGGCGTACCTGTGATTGTGTTTAGAGGGGTTTCGGATTTGGCTGGAGGAGAAGAGACATTGTCGTCGACGAGTCTGATGGATTTAGCTTCTGTAAATTCTCTTAAAGCCGCGGTTGAATTTGTTCGGGTGATTGGGAAGAAGAAGCCATTGCAAATTTGAAAGTATACTATGTCAAAATTGAACATTTGAACTATTTCCACATTATTTTTACTGTGAAGTGTGCTATGATTCTAGAGAATATGTGAACGAAGGAAAGAAACTTATTTGTATCTCTCTAAAAGGTATTTAACAATATATTTTACAAGGTTGAAGTGTAGAAGTGTTTAATTTGTAATTTTTCATTCAAATATCTTCTCAATAGAAATATCTATTATTAGTTCACTACTATAATGTTAATCACAAATTATATCTAACATAATCGAGAAGAGAGTTAGAAATCAGATTTTGAGATTACTTTGCTTGTTACATCTAGAAGCTATAATTCACTCTTGGTAGAAAGAGGGGCATCTTCGACATTACTGATATGTTATAGACATATACCCTTTTACAATAAAAAGCTTCAAAACATGACCTAAGCATTAAAAGTGTAAATAATAAGGAGCTAAACATGCTATTAAAATTTTAACTCATTACAATCTACTGGATTATTATAACGGGTTAAATTTGTCGTATAAAATGTGCATCCAAATGATATCAGATCCAACGGCTTGCCATGCTTAAGGAATGGACATTTGAAACCACCAAATTGACGCGCGTTTGAGATGCGCGCGGATGGGATGGACCCACAGACGCCCTCCTCCTCCTCCTCCGGCGTCAGGGAAATCTCGACGACCTCCCCCGGAGGCGCGGCGCATGTCGCCTGCTAACCACCGCCTCCCTCCCTCACCCTCCTCCGCTGCCGCTCCGTCCGCCAGCTCCTCCAGGTCCAGGCCGCCATTCCCCGCCCCTCCCTGCCTTCCTCCGCCTCCCGTCCTCCGCTCCTCGCTTCCACCCCCTCAGTCCCTACCCCCACGTCCCGTCCTCCTTTCCACCGCCTCCCTCCCCCCCGACCCTCTTCTTCCTCAACCTCCTCGCTTCGCCGCCACCTCCGCCCACGTCCCCCTCGCTACTCTCCCCCCTCCCCCCAACTCGCTTCACCTTCACCTCCCTCCTCTCGCTCCCCCTCGCCGCCACGGCGCTGCCCGCCTCTGCGAGGCTCCAGCGGCGCAGGCCCTGCAGGCGCCCGCTTCGGCGGCCTACGAGTGCGTAAGCCAAACTGCTTGATCACCATTCGCTACGGCCGCGGTGCGGGTCGTCCAGACGACGCCCGCAGGGTGTTCGACTCGAAATGGGAGCAGGGGCCCGGGTCTCCGTGGAACGCGGACTGGGCAGCGGGCGTCGAAAGGTCGGGGACGCTCGGGGCGCGCGAGGGAGGTGTTTGCGAGTTCGCAATGGCGGCGCGGGCGGAGACGTCGGTCTTCCTGGAACCGCTAGTGGTCGGCGGGGTTATTTGGGGGGGGGGACGGGCTGGGGTTGGTGGGAGAGATTGATGGCTGGGATGGAGGGGGGGGCGGGAGCGGTGGCGGGTGGGCTGGCCCCAGCGGCACCGGGTCGGGGTTCGCGAGGGGGGAGGGGTCTCACGGTATGTAGTGAGGAACTTTGCGGGCTAAGGGGAGGGAGGAGACGGAGTGGGTAGGTGTGATCACTCGGGCGGCGACGAACAAGTATGAGGTACGATAGGAATCCGTGGTCACGGCAGCACGAACTTGTAAGGCCTGGTCGACATGTACGGGAAGTGCGGTAGGATTGGGGATGCGAGGAGGGTTTTTGATGCGTTGAAGGGGAGGAATTTGGTGTGCTGGAATGCGATGATATCGGGGTACTGCGTGCATGGTGATCCGAGAGATGGGATTTCTCTGTTTGAAGAAATGGTTGGAGATGGTAATCCGTGTTCTTTCTTCGTGCTTAAAGTTGTCGGCCTAGATGGATATGAGATTCACTTTCTGGTTTGTTTTGATTTTTTGTTAGGTGAAAACTCGGCAGGAATCAGTCCGGACGAGGTTACTTTTGTTGGTATCCTGTCCGCCTGTGCTCGTGGGGGGTTTCTTGAAGAGGGGAATAAGTACTTCGAGCAAATGACAAGCTTGTATCAATTGAAGCCCACATTTGCGCATTATTGGTGTATGGCAAATCTCTATGGCGGCCTTGGACTGATTCAGGAAGCCGAACAACTGCTAAAGTGCATGCCCGAGGAGAAAGAATCGTTGGTTTGGAGCGGTTTGCTTGGATACTGTAGGTTTCGAGGAGACATAGAACTGGGAGAACGAATAGGAAAGCAATTGATCGAGTTGGAACCTTTCAATGGTTCTCGATATGCTTTGTTGTGGAATGTTTATATGGCTGCAGGACGATGGGAAGATGCGCAGAATGTGAAGGAGTTGATGAAGGAGAGAGGGGTGAGAACGATGACTAACGGCAGGCTTGTTGATTTGAATGAAATCGTGCATAATTTTAAAGTTGGGGATAGAACCAAGCCAGAGATCGAGAAGATATATGCGATGATGGATGATTTAGCTGTATCGCTGAAGTTACCAGGGGTTGCAGTAGGCTCAACTGAAAGCACCAAGCTAGCGGTAGATTGAAACGGTTTTGAGATTGAGATTCTTCATTTGGTTGTGATGGATGAATCAGCCTTTGGGCTACTGATCAAATTTTTTCTCTCCATAAGAATGCATGTGAGTTTTCTTGTGGAAGATGTATCTCCTCTGATTTTGGCAGGAGTCGGCCATATTTCCTGTCCGAGTGAAGCTTGAACAGAGAAGAGACATCCATTGAAGGGAATAAACACGAGATGCGAGCAAAAGTTTTGTATCCTTGAGTTACCAGACAAGGCAAAGTTTTTGCGGAAATAAGAAAGAGGAGGTCGATCTTTCAGAATTTCATTGGAAATGAGAAATGCTCGATACAAAATACAAATGTGGGAGAAATCAGGAAGATACAGGCTCTTTAGCGTGAACTAACTTCCTCATAGATCCTTTTGCTTGAGTCTCTGGTGTACAGAGACCTAGAAGTTAAGGGTCTTGTTAGCTCAAATTCGAGCTGAGATCGTGTGAGGTTTTGGTAGGTTTTTCTACAGTATGATAATTATGATCTCCAGAGTTTTTCTTGTGTCTCCTTGTATCATCTCCGATGCAGAAGTTTGACAACAACATTTATTTTATTTTCATTTTATGTTTTGGATAATAATGAGTTATTTGGTGAAGTATGTTGTCAAATATCTGAAGCTATAATAAATGTAAACTGCCACAGGTCCCTTTTTTACCCGCTTTTATTTGAAACCCAAGCAACAAAAACAGAAACCCAAATGCTCTCCTCACTTCACTCCTTCACTCCTCCTCAATCCTCGGAAAAACCCAAATCTCTTCCCTTGATCAATACCTATCTCTTCTCTCATCCTTCCTCTCTCCTCCTCGAGCTCTGCTCCAACACTAGAGAACTTCACCAGTTCCTCTCCCTCATCACAAAGCGAGGCCTTTCCATCGAACCCATCATCCAATCGAAGCTCGTTGCCCTCTTCTCTCGGTTCGGCAGCCTCAAAGAAGCCTCCTTGGTCTTCTCCTCGATCGAGACTAAGACCGAAGAGCTCTACCATTCAATCCTCAACGGCCATTGTCACCATTCCTCTCTTGAAGAAGCCCTTTGCTTCTTCTCCTTGATGAGACAGGCACAAGTTCGCCCTTCGGCCTACAATTTCAGCTACCTTCTTAGAGCCTGCGGGGATAACGCAGACCTCAGGAGAGGAAGAGAGATTCATTCACAGTTGATATCAAATGGGTTTGGTTCACACGTGTATGCGATGACGGCAGTTGCTAATATGTATGCTAAATGTAGCAGGATTAAGGATGCAAGAAAGATGTTCGATAGAATGCCCAAGAGAGACTTGGTAGCTTGGAATGCAGTTATTGCAGGATATGCGCAGAATGGGCTGTCAATTGATGCTTTAGAGTTTGTTTCCAGAATGCAAGAGGACAGGATGAGACCCGATCCAATCACCCTGGTGTCGGCTCTGCCTGCTTGCGCCGATACCAAATCTTTGAAGGTTGGGAAATCTATTCATGGGTTTGCAATTCGTGCTGGATTCGAGCAGTTGGTAAATGTTTCTACAGCTCTTCTTGATATGTATGCGAAATGTGGGAATATAGAGCTTGCTAGATTGGTGTTTGATAGATTGCAAGCAAAGAATGTTGTCTCATGGAACTCGATGATTGATGGGTATGCACAGAGTGGAGATGCTGAAGAGGCAATGAGACTTTACAAGAGTATGCTGGCGAAGGGAATCAAGCCCACAGATGCCTCTGTGTTAGCTGCATTGAATGCTTGTATTGAATTGGCGGATCTTGAAGAAGGAAGACAGATTCATGAGCTCTCGTTGAGTATTGGTTTAGGGTCTAATGTATCGGTCATGAATTCTCTCATTACAATGTACTCAAAGTGCAAAAGACCTGATCTTGCTGCAAAGGTGTTCGAAGGCCTCAGAGCAAAGACTCGTGTTTCATGGAACGCTATGGTACTGGGCTATTCACAGAATAAATGCGCAGATGATGCTCTCAGGCTCTTCAGCAAGATGCAATCTGAAAACATAAAGCCCGATTCTTTCACTTTAGTCAGTGTCATTCCAGCAGTATCAGATATGTCACTCCTCCGTCGAGCAAAATGGATTCATGGGTATGCAATGAGAATGTGTCTAGACGGAGACATCTTCGTGGCGACCGCACTTGTTGACATGTACGCAAAGTGTGGAGGCATTGCCCTAGCGCGAAAGCTCTTTGACTTGATGGTCGACAGACATGTCACAACCTGGAACGCGATGATAGATGGCTATGGAACACACGGGTTTGCTAAAGAAGCACTCGAACTGTTCAAAACGATGAAGAGGAGCTCGATACAGCCAAACGACGTAACGTTCCTCTGCGTCTTGTCAGCCTGCAGCCATGCGGGCCTGGTCAATGAAGGAAAGCTGCACTTTGAGAGCATGAAGAAGGACTACATGTTGGGGCCTGCAATGGACCATTATGGGACCATGGTCGACCTCTTGGGTCGAGCTGGGAGGCTTGATGAAGCATGGAATTTCATTGAGAGGATGCCACTACAACCAAGCATTAGCGTCTATGGCGCAATGCTAGGAGCCTGCAAGATCCACAAAAACGTGCGGTTAGCGGAGGTAGCAGCAGAGAGACTATTTCAGCTTGAGCCAGACGAAGGCGGGTACCATGTGTTGTTAGCCAATATCTACTCGTCGTGTTCAATGTGGGAGGAAGTTGCCAGAGTCAGGAGATTGATGGAGAAGCAAGGATTGCAGAAAACCCCTGGATGGACCTCAATCGAGTTGCATAGCAAAGTCCATAAATTTTATTCTGGGAGCACGAATCATCCACAGTCGATGAAGATTTATGCGAGGTTGAAGAAGTTGATGGAAGAGATAAGGGATATTGGGTATGTGCCTGATACTGAATCAAGTCATGATGTGGAGGACGAAGTGCAGGTTCAGTTACTGGCGAGCCACAGCGAGAAGCTGGCGATTGCATTCGGGCTTATAAGCTCGAGGCCTGGAACAATGATTCAGATCAAGAAGAACCTGAGAGTGTGTAGAGATTGCCATACTGCAACTAAGTTTATATCTCAGGTTACTGGGAGGGAGATCATTGTGAGAGACATGCAGAGGTTTCATCATTTTAAGGATGGAAGATGCTCATGTGGAGATTATTGGTAGACACATTGTTAATTCTTGGTTTATGGATGATGAAAATTTTGGTTAAATTATTTGATTTGCATATGTTAGTACCTTTTCAGTCAGTTTTCAGACATTCGTGTGTGTTTTGACTTGCTGTTTTCTGTTACCTGCATATATGATTCAAGGGGCACTTAATCTCTATTTGGTTCTGAGAACATACAAAGGTAGAATAGAACTAAGGTTTCTCCATTATCAGTAGTAGTTCCTGTGGTGATTAAAGAGGAGAAATCTTGCATAGTTTTTCTTATCATCAAGCCCAAAAAGAAAAGATTTTCTAAACAAACCCATTCACATTAAAAAAAAATCGACCCCACTAGTTTTTTTTACAAAAATTGACCCATTTTTTTAATTCGGTTCCTAAATGGTCGGGGTTGCCAACCCCGACTAGTTAGTGCATAGAATGTTAGGGTTTAGGGTTATCAACCCCGACTATTTATAAACCGGATTAACAAAAAATGGGTCAATTTTTGTAAAAAAAACTCAAGGTGATCAATTTTTTAAAAAAAATATTAATGAGTTTATTTAAAAATTTTCTTCAGCCCAAAAAAGACACTAAGTCCAAAAAAGAAAATTTCCAGATCTCTATATCTGAACAAAGATGAGGAGTTCAGCGTACTAGTTTCAGGTTTCTAAAAGGAGATTGGAGGGCGAGTAGAATATGCAATTAGAACAAACCAATCAATGCTCTCTAGAGCCAAAAAAAATTGGACTCAGAGCACAAGAGCTGTAATGATTGAGCCCTTTTGTATGTTAACCAGGTGATATAATAATATCATCCTTGGTGATGAGCCAAGCCCCCTCCATTTGTTTAGTCCCACAGGCACCAGATCTTGGAATAATCTCACGTCCCCATGCCTTAAAAAGAATGGTGAATTTTTGGGGCATTGGCATGCCAGGTCTTGCATTTGAGACACGTGTGCTTGTTCCTGTTGTGCGCGGCGCGGAAGCGGGACAACCAAACGGACGTGCTTCGAGAACCAAATCAAACAAACGTCGAGATAAAGGCCAAACAAATCAAAACAACGACACAAATCCAAACACAATAGTTTTACGTGGTTCGGCAAATTGCCTACGTCCACGGGGCAAGAAGGGGGTTGGGTTTTCACTAATAGAGAAGAAGAGTACAACTTGAGATTACAAATCACTCGAAGGAATAAACTAATCTCACCTAATAGAGAAGAAGAGTACAACTTGAGATTACAAATCACTCGAAGGAATAAACTAATCTCACCAACAAATCTCTTAATCTCTTCAAATAAACCCTCAAACAATTGCTCAGAAAAGCTCTCTTTTTCTGCGCTCCAATATCCCCAAACCAATCTCCAATCCAAGCCAAAGAAACTCTAATTCGTATGTTGGTATTTATAGCAAACACCAAATCCAAATTGAATAGGAATAATATTGGGCCTGACCCGTTACGCGGTCGACCGCCACGATCGACCGCGACCAACAAACAGAACCTGAAATCACTTACAAGGTATGGCGGTCGACCGCGACAAACGACAGAGCCCAAATTCGCCTACAGGGTCTTGCGGTCGACCGCGCCAAATCCAGGCTCATGCCTGAGCCTGTGCACGTTCGCGGTCGACCGACCTTACGTCGTGGTCGACCGCGCAGCTTCCAAACAGACTCCTGCGGATCTTCCAACGCATGTTCTTCACCAAACTTCTCGCGGTTTGTTCAGTTCCAAGTTTTATGTTAGCCCCTGATCACATCAAATGTTGATTAAGACACAGTTCAAACTACTCACATATTTTTGAATATCTTGGATGGCAACAAATTAATCTATTGTTTTTCCTGTACACTGGACCTCTTTGAGGGTGAATCTTAAGTTGTTTCTCTGTCCGTTTGGTTGGCTAAAAAACATGGGAATTAAAGAAAAGGAAACATATTTTCTATAATAGTTTCTTTTCTTGTGTTTGATTTATTTTTTAAGAGGCTGTTTGGTTCGTTTCCTTGATATAGAGAAATGTAATTCCATGTAAAGAAATACAAGTTTTGAGTTTTTCAAAATTTTCCAAGAAATATATTGTTTTGCTTTGGTTCGCACATAAAAAATAGTGGGAAACCAATGTATTTATTTTTCTTGTGTTTGGTTTTGCTTTGGTTCGCACATAAAAAATAGTGGGAAACCAATGTATTTATTTTTCTTGTGTTTGGTTCGCATAGAAAAAAAAAGAAAAACTTTTGTAAACAAAACAGAGAAGGAAAAAAATCTGACGTGACAGAGTTTTCATCAATTTCACTTGGTTGAGGAAGGAAATCGGAGAGGGAAAAAAATCTTAGTTGGCGACGATTTCAGCAGAGTTTTCTCTCTTCCATCCGAGCGAACCAAAGCGGCACAAAGAAATGGACGGAAACAAAAAAACTGACGTGGAGAGCTAAAAATCTGACGTGGAGGGGTTTTCTGAGTTTTCCACCCCTTATAATAGCGAACCAAACAGCCCCTAAAAGTAAAAAAAAGAGATGAGATGAGATGAGATGAATTGTCACAATAATGTTGGATGATGTGAGTGATCTTTTAGGAAAGAAATTATAGAAAATGTTTTGAGGTTGTTTGGTTGGCTAAAAAAAAGGAAATGAATTATAGGAAACATATTTCCTATAATAAGTTCTTTTCTTGTGTTTGGTTCATTCTTAAAACTAAAAAAATAGATGAGATGAGATGAGTTGTCATTATATTATTGGATGATGTAACTCATACTTAAGGAAATCATTTTTCTTGTTTTTTTTAAGAATGGATGGAAATAAAATTTTAATGAGATGAGATGAGTTGTCACCGTATTATTGGATGATGTTGGTGATTTTTAAAGATGAAATGAGATGAGATGAGTTGGATGATGTGACTCATTTCTTGTGTTTGGTTTATTTTTAAAAGTAAGAAAGGAGATGATATGAGATGAGTTGTTGGATGAAAATAATATTTTATTGGATGATTTGGGCGAATTTTAAAGATGACATTTAATGAAAATTATATTTTTTTGATTTCCATGACCCAATTTTCTTTTCTCGGTTTTTAGGAAACCGACCAATTTCCTAGCTAATCAGCTCTCACGCAGCTTCCTGGAAACACTTTGGGGGTGTTAGTTTGAAAAATGGAAAAAGTATGGGCCTTTTCTGAAACACTCCAAGCTTGAAGGTTTATTTTTTGTTAGCGTGTAAAATTTACCCTTTTTCCTGTAACTTTAGGACTTACTAGTGACAAAGGTCAATGAGGTAGGCCCTTCATATCTTACTACTAGAAGAAATTGATGGATGTCAAAAAAAAGTTGATTGATAAGCTTCAAACTTTCAATGTAGTAGGTCCTTAGGGTCCCTGCACAACAGTGACAAAATCCAAAAAAAAAAAAAAAAAAGATTATTATCGATTTTTTTTGGCTAACATGTCAAAAAAAGATCGATTTTAAAAAACGCCTAGCTAAAAACATACACGACTATTAGTCACGTGTGTTTTCAACAGCACTAATCTCCTAGAAAACATACGGGACTAGTAATTCCGTATGTTTTCTGAAAACAATACTCCGTGATTAGCACACTGAAAACATACGGGACTACTAAATATTTAGAAAAATCGGTTTATTTTTAAAAAAATTCCAAAAAAAAGCATATTACTTTCCCCATAAAAAAGGCTGTTTGCTGGATTCGGTTAGACACCAGATCCAGGCTCTCTTTGCCATTATTTCACTTTCCATTTACCATCATGGAACTGTAGCCTATAAAGGCACAGGAACTCTTGCGAAAACCCTATATTTATTTTTTCCCCGTAAATATTATCATAAAAAAAGAAAAAAAATTTAAAATAGATCGATTTTGCTAAATATTTAGCAAAATCGATCATTTTGCTAAATATTTAGTAAAATCGATTTTTTTTGGCTAACATGTCAAAAAAAGATCGATTTTAAAAAACGCCTAGCTAAAAACATACACGACTATTAGTCACGTGTGTTTTCAACAGCACTAATCTCCTAGAAAACATACGGGACTAGTAATTCCGTATGTTTTCTGAAAACAATACTCCGTGATTAGCACACTGAAAACATACGGGACTACTAAATATTTAGAAAAATCGGTTTATTTTTAAAAAAATTCCAAAAAAAAGCATATTACTTTCCCCATAAAAAAGGCTGTTTGCTGGATTCGGTTAGACACCAGATCCAGGCTCTCTTTGCCATTATTGTTAGACATTGCTATTTGCATGCCAAAACATTGTCTTATTATCTGCTCCCTGACAATCCGCATGAGTTAAAAACGTGGGCCCTGCCACATGAACTGTACTGTGTTCCGCTTCCTGTCCACACGCACTCACTCTCAATTGCAGTCTTTCTTCCTTTCTTTCTTTCTTTTTTTTAACTTTTCTTCGGTGCGACGAAGCTTTGTGCAAACTAGTATGAACATCGTGCAAAGTATGACATACAGTATACTATAGTAAATTTTTTTAAAAATACCATAGTATCACGTTTTCTACTTACCGCAGTAAAAATACTATAGTAAATATTACTGTAGTATTTACTGTAGTATGAATAGTAAATCTCTGTGTTTGTATAGCGGAGTAGATTAATTTTAACTTGATAGTGATGTGAATATTTCGTAACCTCTCTCCCTGTAGCCACAAAATTAAGAATTTGAAGAAAAAAATAATAATAAAAGGGAAGAAAGAGGTTCTTTAAATTTATTATTATTATTATTATTATTATTATTCATCATGCTCTCAAATTCATACACAAATCCTTTTTATATTTAGACCCTTTTTTGGTTTGCATGCTTCGGATGCATTGCTCAAAGGGGCAAAAAAAAAATCAGCTCTGCTCCGAAACCCATTTCAGAAATTTTCGTTCCTAGCGGCGCTGGAAGAGAAAGGAGCCACCTTTCTTCGCTAGCACAAAAAAGCCCACTTCCAGTTGCTAAATCTCAAGAAGAGGAAAAGGAGCCTCCTTTCTCCCTCCACCCTCTTCTGCTCAGAAAACCCATCCCAGAAAACTTGTATTTTTTACTTTTCCGCCCCCGCTCCGTGTCGCATTTTGATCAGAACCCCCGGAACCTGGCGCCCTGTCAATGAATTGGGCCGATCTCGATGTTCTCGGGGTGTTCGGTGTCGAATCTGGCAGCAAAATTTGCCTTCTTTCCCCCAAATCCTGCGACCTACAGCGTCAAGAGAGAGGGCGGGGGAGAAAGCAGGAGGCTGGTGGCCTCTGGAGTCCCCAGGGATAAGTCCTTGGATGTGCACGTCGTGGAGACCAAGTACGGGAACAGGATCGTGGCCTTCTATTTGAGGAACCCGTACGCGAGGCTCACCGTTCTCTACTCTCACGGCAATGCCGCGGACTTGGGGCAGCTCTACGATCTCTTTGTGCAGCTCAAGGTCAATCTCAGGGTCAACCTCATGGGGTTAGTGTTCCCTCTTCATCTTGCACTTCCTTCAAATTTTTTTTTAAACTTGGCGAGGTTATAAAACTGAACGGGTTTGTCGAAGTTTGCTCAGGGTCAAAAAACCCCTGATTTTTTAAGCTCATTAAGTCATAAGTTATCCATTTAGTTTCCATATCGGTGTTGGCATCAATAGCAACCGACGCTAAATAGCGAAGTATGGTAATCATACCCGATCTGATTGCAAATAGTCAGAAGTTCGCCCATGTCGTCTGAAAAAGGAAAAAAAAAATCTAATCTTGATTTGGCTGATGCTGACTCTTTTTTCCAATGTATGGGACAGCGGAGCAGAAGAAGAGGGTCCATGCAAGTGGAGAAAATGTGAATGGCGTAACTGAAATACATAGTTTAGGCAAGTTAGGCAAGTTAGGCTTGAACGTGTTTCATTTTCTCTTGAATTTTGTCTTATTGACTTGTAAGAATTAGAGCAGGTAACTTTTAGTTTCAAAATATGTCACGTGTAGAAATTTGTCACTCGAATCCCGTATATGTTGCGTTTGTTTCCGAAATTAGGTTCAAATTATCCAAAGCTAAGGAGTGATGGAACTTGGGGGGTTAGCTACACACTGGAAATGAAGGGAGAACGCAATTGTCTGATACGCGGTTGGGATATAAGACGTCATAGGTTAACCTTTTAGGTCGAAACCAACTCAGTCTGTTGTCAATGCTTCTTGAATACAAGCTTCCTTTTCAAGGATCATCGGTATTGAGCATAGCTTTCTTAGCTGCTTTATGACTTAATGGATGAATGTTGCTTCGAGAGCAGTGAACATGTGGTCATTCATTCACAAAGGTGATTCCCAAAGATTGTTCTAAAAGTTGCGCTCCTAAGATAATGCTGACTGTGGATGTTGTGTTCAAGATGGTTTGAATAGAGAATAAAGTTGAACTCATAGACCTTCAAAGATAAAAGGCATGCTGTTGGATATGAGCCAAGATGGAGATTGTTGGGTTCGTGACTTGCATCCAGTTAAACATCCAAGTTAAGGGGGGATATAATTAAGATTTAGTCGCAGAGGGAGTAAGGAGGTCTTGTGAACATTTCATATGTGATTGGACTTCAAGACTTGATAGGTCAAGCTTTTAGGGGAAAGTGGCCTTAGTCTACTATAGTTTGGCTCACTGTACAAGCTCCATTAACCTATCAATTGGAGCCTTATCTCACAAAAGGAAGAATACGTTGCGTAACTTCAGTTTGCAAATGTTTTTGTTGGATTTTTGTATTTTAGAAAGCGGTATGTACTTATACAGATAGAATCTAGTAATCTGTCAATTAAAACTTTCTTTCACATCATTTGAGAAGCATTTGCGCTCATGTATGATCTGTCCGTGTTTTGTTCCAAAATTTCCTTCTTATTAAAAAGGCCGAAGCTGCGGTCTGAAAATTGAATCTGCCGTGAGGGTCTTAACCCGATCCCACCCCTTTCAGACTAACCCAGACCTTAGTGGCCCAAACTCCTTGATTTGATGCAAACTTATCAGTTAGATGCCAATCCACACAGGATTAGAAGTTTGGGAGTGGGCTCTGTATCAAACTTGTCTATGATCCATAAAAACTAATGGATCTGGATCCTCTTCGCTACTATTATTCACAGTCGTTGATTGTTTGATGGGCAGCTGTGATTTGTTTTTGTGTGCCAATTAGGAATGAGTGCCAATTAGTATGAGTCACAACTGCCTATTAAACAATCGATTATTGTGATTAATCACAAGTGGTTTCATAACAGTAAGCGGTCTCTCCATTCGTTTTTACTCGATTCCCTTTTGGTCGCGGAGAGGATCCAAATCCCCAGTTGATGTAGAATGCCTTCTCGCTCAAGTTGATTGCCAACTCGGTCATAGCCGGTTTTGTATGCTGTTTGGGCTTTTGGAAACTGGGCGTGTAAAAGCAAGTCAAGCTGCTTCTACTCACATGATATTGTTTTTTAAAGTTGGTACTTCCATAGCGTCACACATCTTTTGAACTTCCGTTGTTTATAGAGTCAGGTGTACTTTTGGCCCTTCACTAACTCAGAATCCTTACTATCTGCAGATACGACTACTCTGGTTATGGTGCTTCCAGCGGAAAGGTATGGTATTTTACTCAATCCCTTCTTAACCTCAACTCTGGTTGTGTTGAGTCTGTTTGCATTTTTTTATGCACAATGGTGCTTATAGCATACGTCAAATTTATTAAGTTCCTCTAAGCATATGACATAATGGCGTAGCTTTTGGACATATGCTGGTGAATTATTAATAAAAACAAAAATGACACCTTATTAAGAAATGACTGTAGAGGGGTCTAGTCTATAAATATAGGTTCATTCACTCCAATCTGATCCTTTATCCCAGCCGTCAAATGCATAAGCTTTCCTTTGAATAACTTTTCTGAGCCACCACAATTCTCATTCGACTGTCAAGTCTATCGCAACATTTAGTGTTACTTCCACTTCTGATTTCTATATCATTAGTTCCAATGGCAACGCTGAATCAAGTAGTCTAAACATAAAAAATGTTTATGTTTGTTGTGTGTAGCCGAGCGAATCGAATACTTATGCAGATATAGAAGCAGTGTACCAGTGTCTGCAAACCGAGTATGGGGTTAGTCAGGAGGATATTATTCTATACGGCCAGTCTGTGGGAAGTGGGCCGACATTGCATTTGGCGTCGCGTTTGCCTAGATTGAGGGGTGTCGTCCTTCATAGTGCTATCTTGTCTGGTATCCGGGTGCTTTGCCACATCAATACAACTTTGTGCTTCGACATTTATAAAGTATGTTTCGGTCATTTTAACGCCTTTTTTCTTTATAGATTACTGTGAAAAAATTGTTCTGGTCGAGTTGAATTACTGATTCAGCGATCTGGAAATGCAGAATATTAACAAAATAAAAAAGGTGAAGTGCCCAGTTCTTGTAATCCATGTAAGTACGTTTCCCTAGTGTGGATGCCTTTTTTAAGTTTCAATTTATTGCAAAAATTTCTATTTCAATTTGTGTTGCAGATGTTTTTAAGTTTGAAACTTGCTACTGTAGACTGTGGCTGGTGAATACAAATCCTGAATTGCTAATTACTTTATCCCAGAAATTACTTTTGCTGGCCCAAGGATGTAATTTTTCAACCCATATTAGGCCACGTTTGGTAACTCCCCAAACGTCCATGTTCTTCTAACGAACATCACCTCATCCTGCCTCTCGAAGACAATAATTTGTTTTATTTGCTTGTCACTTTTTGCTATGCCTTCGTTCTTTTTTGATCATCAAAAGACTGTTATTCGCTCATCCTTAATTTGTACATTTGTGCATATCTATCTTCTTGCTATTCAGCTTATCACAACATATACCCCTTACTGCTTATGACAAAGACATATATAGCGACCAATTACTTTATTTTCTTTGTAAACTTTCAGTACTGTTATAGGAACCGCGCCTAACATCCTGTCATCATTTTCTAAACAGGCTGTTGGCCAACATCGCTCTCATCTTGTTTTTTAAATGTAAATGTGATAAGGGTTGCAGGCCCTCATATTGTAGGAAGATTCTCAGTGTTGCTGTTCATGTTCTATATTTGTCAATTATACTTGTCCAAGGAACAGCTAAATGGTTCCGTGAGTAGGCACCACGGAAATGGCCCATGAAAAGGACTTTAATGATAATTAAACGAAATACTTGGTTGCTTGATGAGGGAAGTCCTATTTTAGTTTTTAAAGGCTCTTTACCCTTAGTTGGACCTCTCTCAAGGTATAGAATGCATCCCAAGTTCATCGTGAAATATCAGACATCTCAAATAATTATGTCGCATTGCATGTCTGATGCAGCGCGAAAGTGATAACCTCGGAATCCACCAAGGGTGTTATCTGAATCCACAAAGAATGATCTTCGAATCCACGAAGAACTTCGAATCCATGAAGAAAATATTAAAAAAAGAGAAATTTTATTGATGAAAAGTTATTCTCCTTTGGGGTTACATGACTCTTCTTAAATGTTTGGGAAGAAAGTTGATGTATTCATTGCAGTGTTCATTACAACTTCAATCGTTATAATAAAAACAAAAGGATTAGTCTTTTTATAAGACCCTTACACAATGAAAATAAAAAAAGTACAACTCTCGTCAAACAACGTAACGGGTGTTTATTGCCCGCTGCTTGCGTGGGATCTTGACTTGTGACGGGGACGTTAGTATCCGTGGACCACCAAACGATTAGAGCAGATTCGGACCTTCGTTGATCCGCGAAGGAACTAGAAAGCCAAAGCAATTATCTCGGTAACAGCGAGATAACCACTCTTCTCGAGATCACCGTAACGGGACAATCTCAAGGCAAACGACCGGGACGTGTAGATCTGACGAGCTCCTCTTCTTTATGCCGATGAACTCGATCCAATCTCCTCTCATTTGAAATTCGTACTCCTCACCTTCAGTCTTCTTCAGCAGGGTTTCGCCAACGCTCGAGAATTCTAGATCTGAAAAAATAAAGGTCCTGAGGCTATATTTATAGGCTTAGGGACCCCTGTTTTCGGATAAGAACAATCAATTCGATCTTATCTTCAGTTGTAACCACTTAACCACGTTCTTGGATGATATTTTATCAGTTGAGACAAATCCAGGTGGTTAACGGTCGAAAAACGGCTTTAAACTGTCAAAATCAGTATTTTCAGGTTGCAGACACCCCTTTGTGTCTCGTCGAGTCTTGGCGCATTATCCCGCGCGTTGTGTCTGTTTTCGTCGTAAATTCGTCGTCCGAACTCGGAATTGCGTTGTTCAAGATGCGTTGGAAAGCTAACGAGGAGATCTACAAGCTCCCATGATTGAATCGTATGTGGAATAAATGGGATACGAGAGGCGCTTCGCCTTTCGTAAGCGACGTGAGGCTCTCGATCAGTTTGTGTTTTTATTATTCCGAAGTTCCGTTACTTCATATGGTCCGTCGACTCACTTTATGCGTTTTTCGTCGTCAAATGAGTTTCTGTGACTCGAATAGCAACATGCATCGTCTTCTCTTTGTCTCGAATCGCGTGCGGGGACCTATATATAATTTTGGACGCCTACATTAAATAAAAAAACAAATAAGACTCTTAGTAAGACTAGAATTATAAAAATAGAAAGTATCAAATAAGACTCCTAGTAAGACTAGAATTACAAAAAAAAAAAAGTGTCAAATTCTATCCTAAAAAAACTCCTTATAATAGAGGAAACAAATTATGAATCAAAATTGATTTTGTTTCCTAATCTAATTTGACTCTAAAATTGAATTTATTTCCTAATCTATATTTCCTAATCTAAATAGACTCCAACTCAGATTAAGCGTCCTACATCAATATCACTTGTATGTAATGCAAATTGCGATGGAGATTGATTCAAGTGTAACAGTGGATTATTTGGGGGTATAGAGTGGTATATGTTTATCTCTGAAGAGTCTCAAAGTTGCTGGAGAAGTGTACTTGGAGATTAGAAAGAGAGGAGATTGTTGGGGATTTTAGTTACACTAGTACGATCTCCCCAAACGAAAACCAACCTACAATCTACAAGATGGAAAGCACCCACAAGATTCAACGTGGTTTGGTCGACCAACTTCGACCTACATCCACGAGGTAAAAATATGAGAAAATTGACTATGTACCTGGGAGAACTACAAGAGGAACCACTCAACTCTCGTATCTTATTATTTTAACCTCTCAACCTCACATACATAATCAGCTCTCATATTCTCTTCAAATTGTTCTCCTTACAATCTTTTGGCTGGTGAAAGATTGTGAAAAGCTCTCCCAGTATTGCAACCTTGCTCGGATAAAGACTACGAAACTCTCTCCTCTTACACACTATTCTTGAATCTGGTTTACGCCTTCTGCTAACTTAGATTACAAGAATAGCGGCTCCCTCCTCTCTTTGGTTTTTCCTCCCAACACTAATAGACTATGTATAGAGAAACGAAAAACTTTGTTTCTAACTTCCTAATTAGAATAGAATTCAAACTCTCTATTATGATGAGATCCAATCTCCTAATTATGATAGACCTTTGTTCCTATTTAATTCTCAAGAAGTTATACAAAGAATCAAGGACACACTCTCAACAGAGATTTCCAGAATCATAATCGCACTAAATACTAAATAATGTATTGTGAAGAAGAGTTGGTCATCGAAGATCATGTTAACTTCTAGGCAGCATGGAAATAGAATCAATGATGAGCAAAATGTGGATGTATAGAGACAAGTATGAGGTTCCTATGTGAATGTTATTTGATAAACAAGGTGAAAATTTTTGGGAGTGAATAGGAACCAAGAGTTTCAAGCTTTGTTATACGTTGACCCATTGGTTTGTGCAATTGTATGGATGGTTGGATTTTCTGTGCATGATGTCCCATTGGGCGAACCCAAGCTTGGTATATAGTGAAATAAAATGTTTTCAGTTTCCATTCAACTATTGGCTTCAGAATCTGCTACTGGGTGCCGAGGAAGCAAATGTATTATATTTGCCTATTTGGCAAAGTGAAATCAAAGAATTAGGCAGTTCTCCATTGGCTAATAATAATAGATTTAGCTATGTGCGAGTGGGAAGTAGAGCAATAATGATGAACACAAGTACAAGGCTGGGATCAACAATGTACTAGCAGAAGCTATTTCAGGTCAATTGGTCAGTCTATATTAAAAGAGGTTTATCAAATGGATTAGAGCCACAGAATTCGAGAATATACATAAAACACTGAAAAATGTCACTAATGCTGTCTAAATAGAATATATATATATATAAAGAGAGAGAGAGAGAGAAACTTATGTCAACTTAAGTTGATCATCCACTAAAGTTTCTATCCATTGATGATACCTAGAGATCCGTGCATCATATGAAGAGACTTTTCTATATATATATGACTTTACCATGTTTGTTGTTATTTAGGCTTTAGCTTTCTTTTTCAATATAATGGCGCTGAATCACCACAAATCAGCCATCCTTTCATCTTTGCTTTGTACACTTGTGCACATCTTGCTATTCAGATTATCACAACATATACCACTCTATCTTGTAAAAAGCTCATAGCAACCAAATACTGTTCTTGGCTCATTTTCACACTTCTATTCCTAACTATTCTGATTCAGCTGTTGCTCCCATAGTTAATTGCGTATAAATTGTACTATTGCCCAATTGCAGATGGAACCCCTGTTGCCCTATTGATAGACCAGAGTGATTTTTTTTTATTTTTACTCTTTTACCTTCAAAGAAAGAGACAATTGTTTTTCGGCAGATTATCTTCCTGATAGAAATTACAGGGAACATGCTTAGCTCATCTTTTGTGCTAACATGCTCATTGTATTGCACATTATAATTGTACAGGGAACAGACGATGATGTCGTGAATTTTCACCATGGGAATGGTCTATGGAAGCGATCCAAGGATCCATATGACCCCTTGTGGATCAAAGGGGGAGGCCACTGCAATCTCGAGCTGTATCCAGACTTCATACGCCATCTCTCTCGCTTCGTCAGAGACATGGAGAGCATAACCACCGCCACCCACCTTAGAAAGATCCATCAGGCCCATCAAAAGCCGAAGAAGATGAAGCCTTCTAGAACCTCCACGGCCACCACCACCACTTTCACCACCAACTGTTGTTGTCGAATTAGAGTTCGCAAGCCAAAATGCACATGTCCATGCACGTGCACATGCTCATGCTCTTGCCCATGTTCATGTTGTTGTGGATGTGGGTGCATTAAGTCGTTGGTTTCGTGTGCATCGATGATGATATGTTGCAAATGTTGTGGAGGTGGAGGTGGGTAGGAGATCTTTGTACAGGGATTGATGGCTGACATAGTGAGGTTTAGAGTGATGATTTAGGAAGTGAACCAAAGGTCTTTATTGTATTATTAGCTCCTCAGTTTCTTGCTATTTTGATTGGGGTTGGATAATAATTGTTGGGATTAATTAGTGTAATGTACAACATATGTTTATGTTGTTAATCTGATCTCTTCCAAGATTAGGCAACCACTTCACCTAACCCATGTAGAAAACTGAGAAGTGTGGATGACAATGTGATGAGAACTACTCCATTTGAACTGGTAAAGGGTAGAAAGAGTACAGCTTTTTCCTTGATTTTGAGCATTACTTATTAATTTAATTAGCTGGACTTGTTCATTGTGTTTCTTTGCTTACCTATAGGAAAACATATCAACATGCCTTCACATTGATTCTTGTTGACATTGTAAATATGGTATCATGTGAGGACCTGGCAAAGGTCCGCATTGGATATTCCTTTTTATAGAAATCATGAGATTAAGTAGATGCAAAGCTGTATCTTTACACCGTTAACAATTTTTAAATCATCTCCTTACATTCTTGTATAGTTCAGAACAACCACCTTGTATATATAACATACGAAAAAAATCAAATATTTACTATTATAATATAATCTTTAGAGGCATGCATTTAAAATTTACATAAGTTTTGGGGGATAATACCTCAAAAACCATACTATAAATTATTTCATAAAATTTAGAATCTTTTTCCATCTTTAGTTTTTCTTAGATGATGGAAAGTGAAAGACTAATACCTTATTTTGTTGATTTGTTTTCTAAACTTTAATGTTATTGAATTTGAGAGGGGACAAAAATAAATAAAAAGGAAAAAAATTGTGTCAAGGCCCCAAATATCAAAAATCCAATGTGGCACAGCTCCATCAATTATTTTTCATGTGCTTTAAGCCCTAAAAATATGAAAGAAAATACGGTCCAGCCCCTCCAGCCAAAAAAGTACATTTTATATGTATTTCACCATAAATTCCTAATTTACTATTCTCTCTCCTACCATTATACCCCTCTCCCTCATCTTTCTCAAACTCTTGCCACCTTTTCTCCCCTCATCTCAACCCTATCCAATCGCCTCCGTCGCAAATTCTTGCTGCCATCTCTTCGTTGTACCCTCTCTCTTCATCGCTGTCGATTCCACCGCCAACCAAGCCTACATCCTCAATATAGCAAATCCACTCCTCCCCAATTTCCCCCAAACCCGAACCATCAATTTCTCTTCCACATTCCCTCGTGCCTCCAAACCCTAACCCAAATTCTCCTCTATTACCATAACTGTCATCGTTCTTCTCTCCTCCTCGGCACCACACTACCGCCAAAGAAATCACTGTTATCTCACCTCTGCCTCTTGTCCTCATAGTCGAAGTACTGACTCCAATTGATGTCATTCCCCCTCCTCCATCCTCTCCGCCTTTCTCCACCATCAACCCTCTCCACCACCTTACACCCTCTCCATTTCCATCCACTTGTTTGCTACTCTCCACCCTCTCGCTTAGCTCATTGTTTGTTTGTCAAGCTACTTTTAGATTTATATGCTTGGGTTTCAAATCTTTTGATAAAAATGTACATCGAGTTTGGACATTAATTTGGGTGATGTTGAAAGGGCGGTGTTGTTGAAATTGTGATGAATGTGTTTCTTGGAACACTATGTTTGGAATATTGTTTAAATATCATATATTATAGGATACCAAGAAGTTGTTTGATGAAATTCTAAAGAGAAATAATTTCTTGGACTATATGATTATATTGAAGATTGTTATTTACTGAAGCTGTTGATCTTATTTTTTCAAGAAGATATTGACTAATGGCCTCGTGCATAAGTTGAGAATATGATGTTTTTTTGTAAGGGCATCCTATTTAGTTTTTATTCTTACAAAAAAAAAAAAATCGGATATTAATGTTAAAGCTTCGATGTTAAGATTATCAATAGTATGTTGAAAAGATCTATTTTTTTGCTGATATTATTGAGGGATATTCCATCTCCTAAGAGATTAAGTATTTCACAAAGCAAAAATTGACATAATGAAGATCATGGTGTACTTGTTAATATTATCACATGCATGTTAAGCTTAAGTTGTACCTGTTAAAATTATAGTGTACTTGTTAAGATTATGTTATACCTGTTAATGTTACGACGTACTTCTTAAGATTATGGTGTACCTGTTAACGTTAAACTTTAATTGTTAAAAATGATAATTTTAGAGTATATTTAACAATTATTAACCGAAGCATTTTTAGGTATGGTCACGTTAGCTCTAATGTCGCCGAGTCTTTCAACAACTAAAATGCTTATACTGAACATCTAAGCTCATAAGTGTGTTAATTTCTCCTATTTCTCCATGAAATTGCTAATCCAAATTCCCATTATTAATAGACTCAAAAGAATATCCTAATTGTAAACACAAAACTAAAATTGAAAACTGAGAACTTTTTCCCAAATGGAAAACTCAAATTGTTAAACTTTAAGTTTTTATCTGCAATATTCATGTGGCTTATGTGATTATTGTACATTAATAGTCAAAGAGAGATGCCATTGAGCTCAGAAGAGGAGATCTTGTAGTCACGGTTGGAGTCGAACTTGTTGAGGATGTGCTCGAGGCTGATGGTAGCGGAGGGCAATTAGAGTTGATTAAAGGAGAAGATCGAGAAGAGGACGAAATCCTAGAGAGGGTTAAGTTAGTAGGAGGAGAGTTGAGCGAGGGAAAAACAAGGAACCAGGGGGAGAGTTGAGCAAGGATGAGAGAGGAGTTAGGAGGGGAAAGAGAGAGAGGGGAGATCTAGCTATGGCTTTGGACTCCATTGGGGGATTATGAGGGGTAAAATGGAAATCATTTTGAGATTTTCTCTCTCTTCTTAGTTAGTATAGTATTAGGGAGAAAGTATCGGGTAGGAACGATCTATTACATTAAATGTGTACCTAAATAATGTCAACAGGTTGACCTGGACATGGTCTCTAAATCTAATTATCAAACTGTTGACATCATTTGAGTTGACATTTAATGTCATGGATCCGAGTGCACTTGATAATTTGCTAGTATTAGGGTTGTTACACATGTTGGCCGTGTATTTAGGGATTATACATAGTGATAAGTATACAAGAGGATGGGTCACATAAAGTTTTATTTTATGGGGCCTTAACGCAAATTTTCCAAGAAAATAAAAATAAAAATAAAAAGTCTTTTAGATTGAGAAAGAATTCCCAGTTCCAAACGTGTCCCAAGGGCATTTGAGTAATCCTCGCCAAGCACATGGGGGTATATAAGTGGCCTTTGAAATCCATCCGGTCTCAACGGTTGTGTGGGCCCCGCTTTACGATGAGCAATTGCGTAAATTTAACGAAATCTAAGGACACTCTCCGAAGGCACCGGCGGGAATTATTAGACCCTCTAGGTACGTGCACCATGTTCTTCGCTTGAAATGGATCTGCTGTGAGGCCAAAACACCAAATACAAACCAATTGCACGGGTTAATGGATAGTGAAATGTTTCCAAGATCCGATAAGATAACTCCTCTATTCAAAGGAGAAGGGGGAAAAAGAAAGATGAATGACTTAATTTTTTTTTTCTCTAGAACCATATTGCGTTATCATTTAAGTTTAATCTAACCTAGAATATATAATATATATAATAAACACGAAAAACTTAATAATTATAAGAAATAAATTTAATCTTGAATAAGCCAAGAAAACCGATATGACATTTATTGAAATACGATTATATATAAATAAAATTTGATACATTATTTTAGTTAACTTTTGATACTTACATAGATTGAAAGCTCATATTTTAGCTTTCGGTATAAATACATTCTCAAAATAATGTGAAAAAAAATTAATTATTTAATCCAAAATCTAAAAAGATGCAGTAAATAATTTATAAAATATCTAGTATTCACTATTCAATTAGAGACTGATCTCCTGAATCTCTAACACATGTGAAAGAGGAAAAATAATTTCCTTTAATTTTGTAGTGTAAGCATATAATACTACCATTTCGGGTATGGATCCCACACCGGATCCGACCCACAAAAAGTCCGTTTGCTGTCTGAGAACGTGCAGTGAATCAATCCGCGTTCTTCTCCTCAATGTATGAAAGCGAACAGAAAGATCTCTTCTTTTTTCTTTTTTTTTTAAATTGCAAAAAATATAAAACTATATAAAAATAATAAAAGTAAAAACACAGTCGTTTTAGTTCTCTTTTCTTCTCTTCATATCTCCAATCGAACCTCATATTTGTCAAGAACTCAAAGGGTTTTCCCCCAAAAAAGTTGCCATTTTTGGACAGCCGGCTACTGAGTTTTTTTCCCCTTAAAAAAAGAGGAATATTTGTGGCCTTTTGATTCTAGGGTTTGGACTGGATCAAACAGAAAGAAAAGCTGTCGCCTTCTTGCCTTCAGATCAAGTGGAGCAGCGGTGAGATGACCTGATTTGATGAAGACTTAACTTCCTCTATTTTTTCCTTAAAAAAGTTCTGTTTGGCGAATCCTAAAGGTTTGCAATCTGTACTTTTGAAGTATTTGCTTTGATAATGTTTGCTTGCTTGGTAGAAAGATGGGATTTTGTTACTACCATTTTGCTCTCTGCTTCAGATTCAGCTTAGCCTGACATTGTTATTGTTCTGATCCTAATTCTGAATATTTTTCTCCACTTTGCTGAGTCCTTTTTGCGTAGTTATCCTAAAGATTGAATCTTGCTACGGCCCGTTTATCTCCGAATCCAGTATCTGATCTCTCATTGTCTACAATCCCTCTTTGTTTTGAGGAACTTTTTAACAAATAGTTGAATTTTCTCTCATTGTGTCATTTCTTTGATTCTTTGATTCTTCTTTAGTGCACTGTTTAAAAGTTTAAATTTCGTACAGCCCTTTACGTCACTTTATAGATCTAACTTCTTGTATCCAAACCTGTCACTTTTGCTTGATAATTTCTCCAAAGACCTTTTGCTATGTAATTTTCAGATCAAGAAAGATCATGGCTTCAAACCCTGCTCTTCGAGGCAGCAGATCAGCTCGATTACCTGCCGCGCCGCACTAGCTCAGGGCGATACATCAGCTACTCTCGTGATGACCTCGACAGTGAACTCGGCAGTGGCTCATTCTCCAAAGAATACCTCAACTATCATGTTCACATACCCCCGACCCCGGATAACCAACCTATAGCAGTCACAATGGACCCTTCAATCTCTGCCAAGGTTGAAGAACAATATGTTTCCAGTTCCCTATTCACCGGCGGATTCAACAGCGTCACGAGAGCTCATTTGATGGATAAGGTCACTGAGACCAATAACCAGCACCCTCAAATGGCCGGGTCAAAAGGTTCTTCATGTGCAGTCCCCGGTTGTGATGGCAAAGTTATGAGCGATGAACGGGGAGTTGACATTCTCCCTTGTGAATGTGATTACAAGATTTGTGCAGACTGCTTTACTGATGCGGTAAAATCCGGTGGTGCGGTGTGCCCGGGGTGTAAGGAAGCTTATAAGGTGACTGAGGTTGATGAAGTGATGGCAAATGCTGGTGTGGGAAGACCGGCCTTGTCATTGCCTCCACCGCCACCGGGAGTGTCGAAGATGGAGAGGAGGCTGTCAATGATGAAGTCTAGGGTTTTAAGCAGGAGTCAGACTGGAGATTTCGATCATAATAGGTGGTTGTTTGAGACGAAGGGGACTTATGGGTATGGGAATGCAATTTGGCCACAAGAGAATGGGGGAGACAATGGCGGGGGGGGGGGCCATGGAAGCCTCTCACCAGAAAATTGAAGATTCCTGCGGCGATCTTGAGTCCATATAGGTAATGATATTGCGATAGATTCATTTATTGTTTCACTAGAAATTTTTTTCTCTTCAAGATAGTTATGAATTAACTAGTTCTTCTAGCGTGGACAAATCTCTGTAAATCAATCTGTATTTTTGGTTGGTTTAAGTTTGTCTAAGTGTACTATGTATAAACTGTCAAGATTGTGATGTATGATATTTTGAGTCAGTCTTGTCATTATCTTAATAATGATGATGATGATGAGACCACTTTTGACCATAATAGCAACTTGTAGGCAGCCAAATCACGTATTGAGCTTTCATACTTCAGTTGATCATCTGATATACATGGACTAAACTCATTGTCTAAATCCTTTTTGTTACTTCTTAGCTTGTTCTTAACATGATCTAAGTTACAAATCCAACTGCCTATTCATCTTCTCATATTTAGTAATTTCTTTGAACATTACTCATATGTTGTTTCATATCTCAGCTGAATTCTATTTTGTTTCTGTTTCATGTTTTTGTATTTATTAACTCTCACACCCTTTAAATTGCACACAGAAAATGGAAGATAATTTCATTAAATATCAACGAACTTTTATTATGCACCCTTACAGTTGATTTTTTTAAAGTACCTGTTGTGTTTTTTTGTAGGCTCCTTGTCCTAATCCGCCTCATTGCTCTTGGCCTTTTTCTCTCCTGGAGAATTACACACCAAAACGATGATGCCATATGGCTCTGGGGAATGTCTATTGTCTGTGAGCTATGGTTTGCCTTCTCTTGGCTCTTGGATCAACTTCCGAAACTTTGTCCCATCAACCGCTCCACTGATCTCGCTGTTTTAAAAGAAAAATTTGAAACCCCCACAATCAACAATCCTACGGGCAAATCTGACCTCCCGGGGATCGACGTTTTTGTCTCTACTGCCGATCCTGAAAAAGAACCCCCTCTTGTAACTGCCAACACAATTTTATCCATCCTAGCAACGGATTACCCCGTTGAGAAGATAGCTTGCTATGTCTCTGATGACGGTGGTGCCCTTTTGACATTTGAAGCCATGGCTGAGGCTGCGAGCTTTGCTAACCTCTGGGTCCCTTTTTGCCGGAAGCATAATATTGAGCCGAGAAACCCGGAGAGCTACTTCAATTTGAAACGAGATCCTTACAAGAATAAGGTTAAGTCTGACTTTGTGAAGGATAGGAGGAGGTTGAAACGTGAGTATGATGAATTCAAGGTGAGGATCAATGGGTTGCCGGATTCAATTAGGCGGCGTTCTGATGCGTACCATGCTCGGGAGGAGATTAAGGCAATGAAGAGGCAGAGGGAGATGGTTTCTGATGAACCACTGGACCCGGTTAAGATTTCGAAGGCAACTTGGATGGCTGATGGGACTCATTGGCCAGGGACTTGGATTCATCCTTCATCGGAGCATACCCGTGGTGACCATGCAGGAATTATTCAGGTTTTTTTTTGGCTGTATATCTCAACTTTTAATTCTTACCGGATGAACTCGTACTACCTGAAATTCTTTTACTCTTCAAGACTCCACATGATACAGGCAAATCTCCATCTCATATTTTGAATATGTAGAATTTGGGAGATTCGGAATAAATTTGAAATGTGATTTGATGAGTCCTTATGTTTGCATCAACACATTACTTATGGATATTGTTTTCTGGTGAGGCTAATTAGAGTACTTTAACTACAGGCATAAATATTTCCTGTGCAAGATGCCTGATAGGCACATGATAACTGCAAAGGATTGGTTATGTCTAAAGTACTAAAACTATATACAAAAGAGTTAAAATGTGTTCAATATGGTTGTCTGTACATCAATTGTCTATATCTACAGTCTGAAAATATGATGATTGCTTTTTTTAAGCTTATGCGATTCATGTAATAGAAGTGTCACGCTTGCCTAATTAGTTTATATGTTGTATGTCTGAAATGTTTTTCTCCAGTGTTATGTGTACTTTTCATATAAATTATCACCCAATCTTTTATTAGGTTATAGCCTCATACATTTAACTATAAATACCCAGTCCATTCGGGTTACTAGGCCACCAGTAGTTGTTTACAGTCTTAATTGCATCAGTTTAAACTTTGATCCAAGTGAATAACCAGGTTAAGGTTTAGATCTTTGATTTGAACGAAAAAAAACAAAAAACAAAAAAAGTGAATATTGATACACATTTGATTTCGTTCAGGTAATGCTGAAGCCTCCAAGTGAGGAACCACTCCTTGGCGGCAGCATCGACGATGGCAATCCTCTAGACTTCACAGAAGTCGACATTCGGCTGCCCATGCTCGTTTATGTCTCTAGGGAGAAGCGTCCTGGCTACGATCATAACAAGAAGGCTGGTGCAATGAATGCCCTAGTCCGAGCCTCTGCCATCATGTCGAATGGTCCCTTCATCCTTAATCTCGACTGTGACCACTACGTGTACAACTCACAGGCTCTTCGAGAGGGAATGTGCTTCATGATGGACCGTGGTGGGGACCGCCTCTGCTACATCCAGTTCCCACAGCGGTTTGAAGGTATTGATCCTTCTGATCGATACGCCAACAGGAACACTGTGTTTTTTGATGTCAACATGCGCGCTCTTGATGGCCTCCAGGTTAGTATTTAGTTGATCAAGGAGTTATGAATTTATTCATTGTGTATTCAGAATGTATGTCCTTGAATATTTTTGGATGTCAAATAGAATGTTCTGCATTTTATTTGATTCCAAACTTAGAAATTTTCAAAACAGATATTGCAGAAAATTCCTGAACACAATTCCTTGAGGGCACAGCCACAACAATACCCTCACTATTCTTCCTGTATTGGAGTTCCTCCCCCCCCCGCCCCCCCCCAAAGATGTGAGGAAATCTCACTTTATTAAATTTATAATTCAACATTTGGTTATTTGCTGCCAAATATCTGAGTTGTCCTTAAATATTCATTACTTCTTCTTGATGGTGCTACTTCCTGTTTCTTTTTTCCCTTTTCTTTTTTGGGTCTGAACTGAAATATTAGATGTAGTAATTTTCCCGTAATATATTATTATTTCCTTGTTGCCTCCTCTGTGATTACATTTTCAAAATATTTACACCTTATTACTGATTCATCAAACTACTTATTATAGACTTTTGCACATTCATACCATCTTCATCAGCGTAATGCTTGCATTGCTTACGCTCAATCATAAAAAATTTTACCCAGTTTCTCAATTCTGAAACTTCTCTCAAAAAGACTTACAGCGATATTCTACATCTCTTCAAGATAAAACCATTCATTTCGTGCATCAATCTTGCAGGGTCCAGTCTATGTAGGTACAGGTTGCCTCTTCCGCCGCATCGCTCTGTACGGGTTTGACCCTCCTCGCTCCAAAGATCACACCCCCGGATGTTGTTCCTGCTGCTTTCCTCGCAAGAAAAACAAATCCATCTCCTCCACTGTCGAAGAAACCCGAGCCCTTCGCATGGGTGATGACTCCGACGAAGACGAGCAGATGAATCTCTCCACCTTCCCCAAGAAGTTCGGCAACTCGAGCTTTCTTATCGATTCCATCCCCGTCGCCGAGTTCCAAGGCCGTCCCCTTGCCGACCATCCCGCCATCAAGTATGGCCGCCCGCCTGGTGCCCTAACTCTCCCGCGGGACCTCCTCGATGCTTCAACCGTCGCCGAGGCCATTTCCGTCATTTCATGCTGGTAAGGGTTCGAAACGAATTGAATCGAATACTAAGGTGTTTGTATTTGTGTTAGTTTAAAATATTCTCTAAATTTCTTCAAATTCGAATACAAATACTTTTCAAATATTCAAGAAATTAAATATTTCTCAATGTTTATATGATTAATAGGTTCATGATTATCAACCATTCAATTAAAAGAAAATTTTATTTTGTTAATGAAATTTGGTTTAACAACTGATCTAAAGCCCTTTAAGTTTGTCAAAAGTAGTGTAGAGCTTGAATTACGAAGTATAAACAAATACAAAAACATAACATCGTACATGTAATAGTACAAAATTATAAGAGATAAAATTAATTGTAAATGAATATTTGATAATTGAACAAATCATCTAGTTAAATTCTAGTCCCTTTAACCAAATACTTAAAACTACTTGTTTGCCTTTAAATGAACTACCAAATCAAATATAACCGTATAGTAAGACATACAAGTAACAAATTATTTGTTAATTGTTTGGTTTGTTTCCACCCTAGGTACGAGGACAAGACCGAGTGGGGCGTGCGTGTTGGTTGGATATATGGCTCGGTTACTGAGGATGTTGTTACCGGATATCGCATGCACAACCGAGGGTGGCGTTCAATATATTGCGTGACAAAGCGTGACGCCTTTCGTGGGACTGCTCCGATCAATCTAACTGACCGACTCCACCAGGTTCTCCGGTGGGCAACCGGCTCGGTCGAGATTTTCTTCTCAAGAAACAATGCCCTCTTTGCCTCCTCCAAGATGAAGATCCTTCAAAGGATCGCATATCTCAACGTGGGCATTTATCCTTTCACCTCCATCTTTCTCATCGTCTACTGCTTTCTCCCGGCGCTCTCGCTATTCTCTGGCCAGTTCATTGTCAAGAATCTTAATGTGACTTTCCTAACTTACCTTTTAATCATCACGGTTACCCTCTGCATGCTGGCTGTGCTTGAGGTCAAATGGTCAGGAATCGAACTCGAAGAGTGGTGGCGAAACGAACAGTTCTGGCTCATCGGAGGCACAAGCGCACATCTCGCAGCAGTACTTCAAGGACTTCTAAAAGTCATTGCTGGCATCGAGATATCCTTCACACTTACTTCGAAATCTGGAGGTGATGACGTGGACGACGAGTTTGCTGACCTTTACATTGTGAAGTGGACTTCTCTGATGCTACCACCGATTACCATCATGATGGTGAATTTGATAGCGATTGCTGTTGGGGTCAGTCGAACTATTTACAGTGTGCTGCCTCAGTGGAGCAGGTTGCTCGGCGGTGTGTTCTTTAGCTTCTGGGTTTTGGCGCATTTGTACCCATTTGCGAAAGGGTTGATGGGGAGAAGAGGGAGGACTCCGACGATTGTGTTTGTTTGGTCAGGGTTGATTGCGATCACGATATCCTTACTCTGGGTCGCTATCAACCCGCCGTCGCAAACGAATCAGATCGGTGGCTCTTTTACTTTCCCTTGAAAGGGCTGTTGGTTAACTCGAACAGAGAAACATTGCAGAATATTTGTTACATTTATGTTAATATGTTACATTTATGTTGGTTGTTATTGTAGATGGCCGTTGAAGATTGTTGAATATGTTGATTTTAGCTCAGGATATGAGAGCTTTGGTGTTTCAGTTCAGTTAGAAGTTTATTCAGAGGAGAGTTTCTTCAAATTTTGTAAGAGTTAAAAACCTATCTTAATTTAATCGAAGTTCTTTCATTTGATTGTTTATTTTGCTTCTTGTTGATAATTGAGCAGGTGAATTTTGAGATTTTTGTTTCAAATAAGTACACGCTAGTTGGTTTGAATCCCAAAATAGACGTTAGAAACTTGTATGGACATAATTTCGACCCGTCACGACTTTTAACCTTATTTATTTTTATTTTTTATTTTAATTTTTCCCGTTTTGCGAAAGAGTTCAATGGAGAAGGAAAGCAATGAAAACTTCCTTGTCTTCAGATAAAACAAACATTATATGCACTTGTAGAGCTATGCATCATCGGTTTTATTCCTAGTTATTCGTTTTGAAGAATTATGCATGTGATTAAGAAGTAGATTGTCCACTGATTATCTTTCAGTGAAGAGGAACTCAAATGCAAAGTCCACGTGAAAAGGGCCCATTGTAATGGCCAGTTTTGTTTTTTTTTTAAAGAGGGTGCTTCTGTCATTTCTAATAGTATTTGGTGAAAGGAATTTTAGCATGGTTATTGAAATTGCTTCCGCTTAATTAATAGAGTGCTTTTAGAAGTAATCTGAGAATGTTTTTAGAAACAACTTTTATTTTTTCAGTTTATATACCATATATACATTTTATCTTTTAACAATGATCATTAAGCACAATTCTGCCAAGCACCTTTAATTTTTTAAAGTAATTTTTGATATTTGATTATCAAACAACTATTTTCAGCAGTTCTTATAATCAAACAGCTATTTTCAGCAGTTTATATAAGTTGCTTCTATAAGCTGCTTTTCTAAGCAACTTATTTGGCTAAATTGCACAAAAAACACCATAAAGTTTCTCATCATTTTGACAGTTAAATACCACAAGCTGCATCTTGATACAATAAAATACCATATAATTTTCAAAATCTGCACGTTATTACCATCAATCATGCAAACGTGGAAATTTTCATCTAAATGTTTGTCTATGATACTCCCATACTAAAATTTTGAGGTTTCTAACTACTAATATTTGTTAGATTTTTTTTATTAGAAACATCCCAGCTCTATTTTAAAAGTAGAATTAGGATTGTCACACAGCAACTTTTTGGTCGAGTCCCTCTTGTCATTGTCTTTAGCAGGGGATTAGGCATCCATTTGGAGTGTGAACTAATATAACCAATGATCTATATATGATTTTGTCAAATTCACTGTGGATAATTTTCAAGTAGAGTGCTCCTGATCTTTTTCTGACCTCATTTTTGATGGCGACATACTTGGTTACTGATCTTTTCTCCTCTTGGGTTATCCACAAAAAAGTAGGAAGTTCAATAAGTTGACATCTTCTAATAAATCTTTATCTGTCAAAACAAGTGGCTCAAACAATCAAATGCCACGTACATACTAAACTGATCGTCATTATACTTAACCCACTGAAATCCAAGAAGAAAAGGAGGAGGAAAAAAATAAAATAAAATAAAACAAATCGAGTGAATATGCTGATCATACTGTAAGAAATTATTGTTTAACAAGTAACTTTCTGCTCACTACCGAGTACAGACTTTATGTCGCCTTTCATTTAGGAATCTTGTAATCCAACGTTGTAGCAAAAGGGGCAGTAATGTCCTTTGGTGTTTGTTTGAGTGTTAGCATTTCCATTTGTTCCCTGTCTTTTAATCACTACGAGCTGCTGTAGCTAAATGTTTTTAGTCAATTATTCACCAAGCCATGAATATTAGCCACTCCAATCTTCTTTAATTTCTCGGGTGGCTTTGGGCTCAACAATTGATTGTTTTAAAAATCCCGAGCAGGATTGTAGTCGTTTCTAAGGGGTTGTTTGGTTCGCAGCATCAATAAATCGCAACAAATGTTTCTATAGCAAACATTGCATGCGACATTTGTTGCAAGAAATTAACCGTTGTTTGGATGTCTGCAGTTATATTATAGGAAATGTATCTCTAATGCAAATTCAGTGTTTGGTTGAAAAGCATTTACTGCGAAAGCTGCATAATTTTGCCATGTATGGAAACTTGATGTAGACGGTTTTTCGGTTTGGATGTAAAAAGATTTAATTTGCTGAGGTAAAATTTCTTTATTGTTTAATCTCTTTTTTTTTTAAGTTTGCAACTTTTTCTCCCTCCAAACTGGCCATAGCAGTTGTTGCTAGTTTTTTTTTCCTATACACGGGCACAGTTGGATTTTACCCATTCAACTCTTTTACTTTCCTGTGTTGGGACTGCAGTTCTTGCAGGTAAATTTTTTTTTTTTTTTTTTGATGAGAAAACAATCCCCTCATTTCATATGATGCCCTTCCACTTGCTGCATGTGCTTTTATAAGAAAGACAACAAGGAATTCAAGGTAATTACTAAATCAACTTATCCATATAGCATCATATATTGCCTGTGCGCTGCACTTCCTTGCATCAACAAATCCACCCTCTCGCTGCAGGACTTGTCACCGGACCGAGCTTTTGCTGATTTTTGTCCTCTGGTTCTCTACCTTCTGATCATGAACTTCCTTGGGTAGAACCACGTTACTATCGGTAGGAAAACGTCGACGAGGGTCTCTTCTCGATGAGTTCGTCTAGGATGTCAACGACGATAGCGTGAACTTCTCGGTTCCACGTTTGAAAAATGCAGTATTAATTAGGTATTATCAGTTTTCGGACACGTCCATTTATATGTTGAGGATTGCACTTTCGCCTGTCTCGTTTCTCAGGATATGGACTTGCCTTCAGTCCCTTTTTTCCTCCTCCATCCCTATTTTGGGGAATGGGATGGAGAATCTGTTGGACAAAAAAAAAAATCCCAAAATTCTCCAAAAGTAAATATACCAATAAAATAGGGAAGCCGTTGGAGATGCTCTTATTACAAGAACGCAAAGTTTGGAAACTCGGGTTATAACGGAAAACACCAAATATTGCAATAAAATTTTGATAACCACCCGGATTTAGTTGACTCCTGGCTCCAATTAAAAGCCTCTATTGTTCCCCCTTCCATTTTTCTCGTATTTCGCGGAAAAGGACCTCCTTCTTTTCGCTTCGTCGCCAAAATAAACCCGTATTTTCCCATTTTGCCCCTCCGCTATTTCTGATTTCGCTTTCGAGCTAGGGTTCCGTCGCGAAAAAGCTCGATGACTTTTCAATTGTGGGCGTCACCGATCCCTTACACCCACTGAATTCGCTCTCTTTCAACTGATCGATTCAGAGGTTAATACCGGTTTCAGTTAGGTAAAAGTCCGTTTTTCCCCCACTGTTTTTGGGTTCGTTGGTTCTAGGGTTTTGATTTAAGTGTTGAACTGTCGTCAAAATTAGGGTTTGTTCATGGGAAAAAGCGACGCTGAAGAGGCGACAAAGGCACCGAAAACATCAACCGCAGCCCAGGTTAGTGTATTTGCTCTTGTCGACTGTTCAATTTCAGTTTTTGATGGGAAAAAGATTGGATCTTTGCCTTCTCCCGATTGTTTAGGATCAACCTCCGGCCACTAGCTCAACAGCAGCTGCCTCGCCTTACCCTGATTGGTCCAATTTTCAGGTAATTCATGCCTTTTGAGATGAATTTAGGGTTTCTCTCCCTTTTAAGGTTTTGAAGAGTTCATTTTTAGTTGAGGAAGCTGATGATTATTGTGGAATTGATTTGGATATAGGCATATTCGCCAATTCCGCCACATGGGTTCTTTCCTTCACCCGTGGCATCGGGTTCCCCGGCTCATCCTTACATGTGGGGACCTCAGGTGCTCTTCATTTGTATCGGTTTTTGTGTTTTCGTCATGCTTTATGCTGGACACTGAGAGTTTACCCTAGCAACTTTTAGTTTGGAACGAGCTAATTGATAATTTGGAGAGGGGGTAGATTTTTAGAGCAGTGGTGGTTCGGTTTGTTTCTTGGAACAGTTTCTGAGATGGCAGTTGGTTCGATGACTTCACTGGTTTCTTCGTCTTTGCTGAAGTCGAAGTGGCAATATAACTAAGACATGAACATCCAGCCATAACTACCTTCATTTTGTCGTAGCTATACTTAGAACAGAAATGGTAAATAAATATGTTGAAGGGCTTGATGTTGATGGTTTTTATTTCTTAATGCCTAAAGCAACTGGTTTTAGGATGTTCTTATCCTCTATACTAGGGCATTGTGGTTATGATTTTAGGACTTTATCTTTCCATCTGGGTATTTCTACATGTGCATGTTTGACATTGAGATGACTGGTTAATCACCTTCGTGGATGCGAAACAAAATACAGAAGTAGGCGTGATTTAAGCACAAAATCGAGTGTGGCATCAATTGAAGATTGCAGCGATTTTCATTGTCGCTCACGGATATTCCTTTTCTTTGCAGCCTATGATGCCTCCATATGGAGCACCACCGCCTCCATTTGTCATGTATCCTCATGGAGTATATGCTCATCCATCTATTCCGCCGGTATATTTTTCAACCGAAGAAAATATGACATCCTGTGCTCAAGAATATTTGTTTTTGTAGTTGTTTAAGTTTAGAAAGTCACTAACAATTTGCTTCTGTCTATCAATATTCATACAGGGTTCTCACCCATTTAGTCCTTATGTTATGCCTTCTCCAAATAACAATGCTGAGGCCTCTGTGAGTTCCCTAACTTTATCAGTGGTTATGTATGACAGCAGATTCATGCATGAAATGAACATACGACATGTATATTAATCCATAGGGTGCAGCACCAGGTGGCATGGAAGTGGATGGAAAAACCCCAGAAGGCAAGGAAAAAAGCCCCCTCAAAGGCTCAAAAGGAAGTTTAGGCAGTTTGAATATGATCACAGGCAGGATCAACAATGATCCTGGTAAAACATCGGGGCCCTCGGCTAATGGAGGCTTCTCTCAGAGGTATGGTCCGATGCATGCACAAGAATTTTGATTTTATTAACCATTTCCTCTGGGTAATCGTACTCCAGCAAGTTTTGCTGATCCTATCATTAAGGCAAATGTGGCTTTTGCAGCGGCGAAAGTGGAAGTGAAGGTTCGAGCGATGGAAGTGATGTGAATTCACAAAACGTAAGATCCATTATACTTGATTGTTTTGCTCGTAGATTTGTGTTTTCTAAAATTACAGAACTTGTTAGCGAGAAGTATTCAATTTCTTGCAATATTTCATGTCTGTACGCATCCAGAAATTAAATCCAAAACGGGTTTTGTGACAATACAGATGATGGAATAAAGCATCTATGCGCAAAATCATATATATGTTGGATAACCTTAATACATAGCTATCAGTCATTTTAATTTCCAGTTGTAGTCTATATGTTTATATAATTAGTGCTTTTCCTTTCTTCTCCAACTTCTTCACTTAGCTGACCGAAAGTATTTGACTATTTGAGGAAAAGGCTTTGTTCTTGTTCTCCAACTTGATTACTCATCCACAATAAATATTCTTTTATGCATATGTTATGATGAGTCCTGATTAGGTAAAAGTCCGTTTTTCCCCCACTGTTTTTGGGTTCGTTGGTTCTAGGGTTTTGATTTAAGTGTTGAACTGTCGTCAAAATTAGGGTTTGTTCATGGGAAAAAGCGACGCTGAAGAGGCGACAAAGGCACCGAAAACATCAACCGCAGCCCAGGTTAGTGTATTTGCTCTTGTCGACTGTTCAATTTCAGTTTTTGATGGGAAAAAGATTGGATCTTTGCCTTCTCCCGATTGTTTAGGATCAACCTCCGGCCACTAGCTCAACAGCAGCTGCCTCGCCTTACCCTGATTGGTCCAATTTTCAGGTAATTCATGCCTTTTGAGATGAATTTAGGGTTTCTCTCCCTTTTAAGGTTTTGAAGAGTTCATTTTTAGTTGAGGAAGCTGATGATTATTGTGGAATTGATTTGGATATAGGCATATTCGCCAATTCCGCCACATGGGTTCTTTCCTTCACCCGTGGCATCGGGTTCCCCGGCTCATCCTTACATGTGGGGACCTCAGGTGCTCTTCATTTGTATCGGTTTTTGTGTTTTCGTCATGCTTTATGCTGGACACTGAGAGTTTACCCTAGCAACTTTTAGTTTGGAACGAGCTAATTGATAATTTGGAGAGGGGGTAGATTTTTAGAGCAGTGGTGGTTCGGTTTGTTTCTTGGAACAGTTTCTGAGATGGCAGTTGGTTCGATGACTTCACTGGTTTCTTCGTCTTTGCTGAAGTCGAAGTGGCAATATAACTAAGACATGAACATCCAGCCATAACTACCTTCATTTTGTCGTAGCTATACTTAGAACAGAAATGGTAAATAAATATGTTGAAGGGCTTGATGTTGATGGTTTTTATTTCTTAATGCCTAAAGCAACTGGTTTTAGGATGTTCTTATCCTCTATACTAGGGCATTGTGGTTATGATTTTAGGACTTTATCTTTCCATCTGGGTATTTCTACATGTGCATGTTTGACATTGAGATGACTGGTTAATCACCTTCGTGGATGCGAAACAAAATACAGAAGTAGGCGTGATTTAAGCACAAAATCGAGTGTGGCATCAATTGAAGATTGCAGCGATTTTCATTGTCGCTCACGGATATTCCTTTTCTTTGCAGCCTATGATGCCTCCATATGGAGCACCACCGCCTCCATTTGTCATGTATCCTCATGGAGTATATGCTCATCCATCTATTCCGCCGGTATATTTTTCAACCGAAGAAAATATGACATCCTGTGCTCAAGAATATTTGTTTTTGTAGTTGTTTAAGTTTAGAAAGTCACTAACAATTTGCTTCTGTCTATCAATATTCATACAGGGTTCTCACCCATTTAGTCCTTATGTTATGCCTTCTCCAAATAACAATGCTGAGGCCTCTGTGAGTTCCCTAACTTTATCAGTGGTTATGTATGACAGCAGATTCATGCATGAAATGAACATACGACATGTATATTAATCCATAGGGTGCAGCACCAGGTGGCATGGAAGTGGATGGAAAAACCCCAGAAGGCAAGGAAAAAAGCCCCCTCAAAGGCTCAAAAGGAAGTTTAGGCAGTTTGAATATGATCACAGGCAGGATCAACAATGATCCTGGTAAAACATCGGGGCCCTCGGCTAATGGAGGCTTCTCTCAGAGGTATGGTCCGATGCATGCACAAGAATTTTGATTTTATTAACCATTTCCTCTGGGTAATCGTACTCCAGCAAGTTTTGCTGATCCTATCATTAAGGCAAATGTGGCTTTTGCAGCGGCGAAAGTGGAAGTGAAGGTTCGAGCGATGGAAGTGATGTGAATTCACAAAACGTAAGATCCATTATACTTGATTGTTTTGCTCGTAGATTTGTGTTTTCTAAAATTACAGAACTTGTTAGCGAGAAGTATTCAATTTCTTGCAATATTTCATGTCTGTACGCATCCAGAAATTAAATCCAAAACGGGTTTTGTGACAATAGAGATGATGGAATAAAGCATCTATGCGCAAAATCATATATATGTTGGATAACCTTAATACATAGCTATCAGTCATTTTAATCCAGTTGTAGAGTCTATATGTTTATATAATTAGTGCTTTTCCTTTCTTCTCCAACTTCTTCACTTAGCTGACCGAAAGTATTTGACTATTTGAGGAAAAGGCTTTGTTCTTGTTCTCCAACTTGATTACTCATCCACAATAAATATTCTTTTATGTATATCAAGTTGAACTATGTTATGAGCAGTTTCTAACATAGATGCATCTATTGTAAAGCTAGCTAATTGAAAACTGTCAGCTATTTATTGTCTAGATTTTTTTAATGTTATACAGGATTCTCAACCGAAGAGTATATCAAGTTGAACTATGTTATGAGCAGTTTCTAACATAGATGCATCTATTGTAAAGCTAGCTAATTGAAAACTGTCAGCTATTTATTGTCTAGATTTTTTTAATGTTATACAGGATTCTCAACCGAAGACATCTGGTGCTCAAGGCTCGTATGATGGTAGGGTTGCATTTTTAAGTTAGCATCCCAAATCCCTTTTATATTAGTTGATAAACTTATCAATGCATTAAAACAGCGGCTGACCAGAATGGTAATCATGCACATAGTTCTGGAAATGGAGTATCCCGAACTCCTTCACAATCAGCAATAAGCCAAACCATGCCGGTCATGTCTACGCCAGTGGCTGG